ATAATTTGTATTGTATTCTTTACTATGTTTTTTTTTTTTTTTCAGTTTTTGGCTGGGGCTGGGTTTGAACCTGCCACCTCCGCCCTACTCCTTCAAGCCACAGACGCCACCCCTCTTTATTATGCTTTTATTCTTTTTTTTGAGTTTCATTTTGGATATTTTCTATTGCTAATCTTTTCACTATTCTTTTTTCTCTATAATGTCTCCTCCCATCCAGTGTATTTACCATTAATCCCACCCAATGTTATTCTATTAACACCACCCAGTGTATTTTTCATTTTCATGTCAGACATTGTAGTTTTCAAATTTAGAAGTTTGATTTGGGGCTTTTTTTATATCTTCCATATTATTTCTTAACTTCTGAACATATGGACTATAGTTCTAAGAACTGCTTTAATGCTTTTGTCTGCTAATTCTAACATCTATTTTAGTTCTGGGTTGGTTTCAATTCATTGGGTTTTTCCCCTTTATCACAGATAGTGTTTTCTAACTGCTTTGCATGCCCACTAACTTTTGATTGGATGCCAAACATTGTGAATTTTACCTTTTTGGGTACTGGATATTTCTGTATTCCTATATATATATATATATCCTCGAGCTTTATTCTGAGATGCAGTTACTTGGAAACACTTTTATTCTTTTATGTGTCACTTTTAAAATTTGTTAGGTAAGACTAGAACAGCATTTAGCCTATAGCTAATTATTCCCCATTACTAAAGCAAGACAATTATGAATATTTTATGTAATTTCCTTCAAATAATGAGAGATTCGAATCTGACTAGATTGAATCTAGTGCCTGGAACAGGCACTTTTCCATGCTCTGCATGAACACCAGGATTGATCCCTCTCATCTGCTTGGATGGTTCTTTCCTGGCTCAGGTAGTTTCCTCACTGCATGAGTATTTCAGTATAGTAGTCCCTCTTTACCTGCAGGGGATATGTTCCACAACTCCCAGTGGATGCCTAAAACCACAGGTAGTACTGAGCCCTATATATATACACAAATTCTTTTTCTTCACAATTTCATTGATAGAAGTTTCATTCTTAACCATAGATCTTAGAAGTTCAGTATATAATATTTTTTCTTTAAGAACTTCCCTCTTTTCACTGAAATGAAGCACTTCATGACTTCTCTTCAGCATACTGTATCTGAATTGCTGGTATTACTACTTTTGTGCTTTGGTGCCATTATTAAGTAACATAAGGGTTACTTAAACCCAAGCACTGCAATACCTTAACAGTCAATCTAATAATAGCTACAACTACTAAGTGACTAACAGTGAGGTAATATACAGCATGGACACTGGGCAAAAAGATGATTCATGTCCTAGGCAGGACAGAACAGGACAGCATGAGATTTCATCATTCCCTCAGAAGAGTGTGCAATTTTAAACTTATATATTGTTTATTTCTGGAATTTCCCATTTAATTATTTTAGGACTATAGGTGTTTGCAAGTAACTAAAAACACAGCAAAACCACTAATAAGGGGGGACTACTGTCCTCTGATGAATACTTTTCAGACCCCTTTAGTTCTATTTCTCTAGAGCCCTCTTTTCTCTAGCACTTTATTCTGCAAACTGTAGCCATCTTGGTCTTCTTGGATTCTTATTCAACTTCTCATTCCAAAGAGTCAACCAGATATGCCTATGTCCCTCTTCTCTATGCTGACTGGAAGTCCTCTCTAGGCAGTAAGCTGAGGCAATGGAAGGGTTCTCCTCATTTACTTCCTGTTTCTCAGAGTTCACTGTCCTCCCTTTCCTTATGTCTAGTGTTTGGAAAACCACTCTTCGTCAAACACTGTCAGAGTTTTTAATGATTGTTTCAGGTGGAAGGGTAAATCTAGTTCTTGTTACTTCTCTTTGGCAGAAGCAGACATTGTTTACCATTTCTACTCTTCACAAGTTTTTAAATTTCATGCAACATCAATACTCTAATTCCCAGAATATTTAATGAACGGAAACTCCTACAGAACTCCCTCCCTGGGATTTGGCTAATAACCAACCATGCAGGGCCTAATCTTAATCAATTGTTTGAGAGACATAAAGGTGGTTATCTCCTACATCTAATAACATGGTCAAGTTTGTATTTCTGGGTAACTGTAATAAATTGTGGCAAATCCAATGGCTCTGCTATTACAAACATGGCTAAAAATGAACTGAAAAGAATTCATTTACATGGTACTCCCAAATCTACCCCAATTCCAGCAGAAAAGTTTAGGCACCAGGAGAGAATCTTGGCTCAGAGACTTAAGACTTTTTATCTTAGTACATTTCTCCCTAGGGATAAGTAAGGTACATTCAAACAACATCCATTCTTTGAAGTCAGTTAGAAAATTAGTGCTACAGGGTATTGAATAGTACCTAAGTAGCCTTATAGAGATAATGTACAACTGCAATGTGTTCATTATGCCAGGATGTAATTTACCCTTTCAGAACATGCTACTTCCCCCTGTGTATGCCACAGTTTACAGGAATAACCAATTGAGGCACAGTTTCCATTGTGTTTCTCTCTGAGTACTTATAGTGCTACAACTATAAACCATAGTGCGTTAGATCACAGTGGGCATGAATTGTACCTGGGATATTCCCTCTCAAAAATTAGAGAGAACTGGTCACCAAAGGTTTCCAAGGATTGGAGTGGGGGTGGGGACATTAGAAATAGTTAAATTAATTCCCTCTGGTCATCAGATATAATGGGATACAAAAAAAGAAATGGTTATAATGTATCTGGGTATTTCTGCATGTTGCAAAAATATCAATATATCTACTAATATACATATTCCCTTTTCTTAAGTTTCTAAAGAAATTAGCTTTGATGATCAAAAAGCAAGAGATAAGTGCACCTGATTAAATCTTCTCCACTGTATGTCACCAAGAATTAGCTTTAGTCTTAATAAAAGTTTTAGACTAAAATAGTGCAAATGACTGAAGCCCAATGTCCTAAGTTCTATTGATACCAAAGTAGTGATGATGACTGATGTTATATCCGTCCATCAGAGAAACTAAAATGCAGATTTTTCATGCTTATGTTTGTATACAAACTTGCAATTATGTGGGCACACCAGGCACCTTGTGAAGCAATGGAAGGTAAGGATTATGGAGGAAAAGAGGAATAGACATCAGAGAATGCTTCTCCTTTATTAATTACCGTCTGATTACTGCCTTGTGAGATCAAGAACCTTGTCCATTAAACAATCAAACTTTACACTTATTGGTATAACAGAACATAGAATTTATTTTATCATTTTCCAAAAAAAAAAAAACCTACCCCTATTAAATCCCTATTAAATTCTTTTAAATCCTTGGGAGTAATTTAGTTAAAAGGGGCATAGTTAAAATGAAAGGGCTTTTATGAAGGTGATAACACCCACATGACAACACTATAGCAGATGTTCATGCCACCATATGAAAATGCAACAAGATTCAAAATCACATATTAAAAATTTTTGACTTGATTGACTTATCCTTGGATTTTTATGCCACAGGAATTCAAATCAGAGAGCAATGGACCAGTTCCTGGAGGAAGGATGCAGCATGTGACCTGGAGCTGGGTTTATAGCTGATACTTTTCTTCCACTCTACATTTTCTGCCTTGAATTGCCTTGACTTGGATTTAATAAAGTCTGGCAAAGAGACTCTGGTATTTGAACAAACCTTACCCATAACAGAGTCTGGCTGAGAGACTGTCATTCTGAATTCTATTTTATTTCTGTGTAATTCAGTTTGTAGTCACAATATTCAAGGACAGCATGCTCATTGGGTAAGAGATTACCATTTGCGTAAGCAAGCTGGTGAAAAATTACAGGTATATGTTCCCTAGGTATTGTGTGACAAGACATCTGGAGTGAATTACTGGAATTCTCTTTTAAAAGGAAAGGTTTGAGAATTGATTTCATGTGTGCAAGTAAAGACAGAATGTCATAATGGCTCATGGCTGAAAGCCAAAGGGGCTGCTTCTCTTTTAATAGATGTGTGAAGAGTTATGTTCAAATTTCTTCTTACTCTTCAACCTGATTACCCAGCGTCTGTTCTTCTAGGGACATATGATTCAAATAGAGCCTGGGATTCTAACAAAAACCGCTCGCTGGAAACTTTCATAGTTAGCTTAATATCATGTCCATGCATGAAGGAATAATAAGGAATGAGCCCACGTTACAGATGAAACAATGAGGTTTATAGAAAAGGAAAGGGCAGCCTTCTCAATCTAAGAGTTCAAAGTTTGGAAGGTAATAAATTTGGAAGGTAAATTTGAACATTTATTTTTTTAAAGAGTGGAATATTGTTCATGAAAAGGAAAAGCAAGGGTAGCGCCTATGGCTCAAAGAATAGGGCGCCAGCCCCATATGGGGGAGGTGGTGGGTTCAAACCCAGCCCCGGCCAAAAACTACAAAAAAAAAGAAAAAGCAAAACTCATGAAGCACATTACAGTGTAGGTTTTCTTCTAACTTTGGTTTTTGACTGTCACTACCCTTAGGACTTGTTCTTATTGGCCAAACTGTACTCTGCAACCATATATATTTCCTCCCAACATAACGCTGAAGATTATTGCTTCTGCTTTTGTTTTAACCAAAAGTGGTAACTCGTGCAAGGTAAAAGATGTGAACACTGAAAACACAGAACAGTTCTATTTATGCTGCACAATTCACAATCAAAGCCTCCTAAATGCATTAGCAGTACGTGTTACTCCATTCCAGCTGTCAAATCAGCAAGTTGAGAATGAACTTTTTAGGGAATTTAAGATGAAAAAATGGTAAGTGAGAAGAGAAAGAGTGCAGAAAGCATTTGTGATGGAGAAAGTATGATCAAGGGGAAGAGATAAAAAATCATTTATCAATTATTGAAAAAAGGGTAATAGTACTCTTTAAATATAGCAGTTCTTTTTCAGGGTATAATATAAGAATATATTAACAACTGCTATTTCAATTTTAGGTATGACTCTAACAAGCTTGCACTAAACTGCACATTTCACGGAAAAATATAATGAGAATGATACTCTTACCATCTGCTTTCTTTGAATCATTTCCGACGTTAGAGTGATCCTTCTTGTCTGTCTTATTTTTACCATCTTTCAAGTCACCTGAAAGTAATAAACATGACAAACAATGAATGTATACAGCTGGGGGGGTGCGATAAACATCTTTATACCTGTCAATGTAAAAAAAAAAAGTGCAGTATCATTTCATAGCCGTGAGGGAGTACACGTCTGAGTATAAATATCTTTTGTAACCACATGTTAGATCCTGGAAATTGGATTATGATCTAGAAATTGACACTGAAAGTTCCTATTAAATAGAGTTGTACTGAAGTCAATGCTATTTATCTCCCAAGAAAGGTAGCTCAGCTTTATTGTCGGGCTATGGAGTGAGGAAAATCCTGGCTAAATGTAAGCTCTACCACTGAATAGCTATTTAACTCTCTGCACTTCAGTTTTCTTATCTGCAAAATGGGGATATTAGTACTTACTTTATAGGCATATTATAAGGATAAATGCATTTAAAGTATGCAAGTACTGACTGTAGTATCTGGTAAGTCATTCAATGATAGTTGTTATTGTTTTAATTAATTATCTTGTCAATGTATACTTTGTAAGGTGAAAAACACCACTCTTAACACATGTAAAATGAACACATGGCAAATGTATTTAACCCATTTGAGAAGGAACCAATGAGACAGTAGGGATGATTTTAGGAGCACTTAAGAAATTCGGTATTTATAGGCATTTAAAAACTGTGTTAAAAGAAGAATCCTAGGTTAGAGACAAACAGATTAAATAAAGGACAATAAAATGATAATCTTTAGGGTTATCTTCTCTACCAGTTTTAAAAAATCTATAAGTTAGTATATAACTTTATAGTTCTTAGGCTGGAATCAAATAGGAAATAGCAAAGTTACAAAAATAACCATATTCTTCAAGAGTAGGCATCAGCAAATTTATAACCTCTAGGTCAATCTTACTGCCACCTGTTATGATCAGGTTTTATTGAAACACAGCCATGCCCATTCATCTACACATTGTCTGGGGTGCTAGCAGGCTGCAGTTGCACAGTTACATAGTTGCAACAGAGACATGCAAAGCCAGAAATATTTTCAACCTAGTTCTTTACAGAAAAACTGTGCTCTCCCCTGTCTGGGACAATTTAATAATTCTTGGGCAGGTCTATTCTATAATATGCCAGTGTGACATAGAGGTCAGGAACCCCTTGCCCTAGACTTAGTTTCAAACCTTGGATGTTTTTCTTACCAATCTCACTAATGACAACTTTTTGTGTGTGTGTGCATAAAACCAAGAATACAATACTATTTGAATACTGGTACCTATTAAAGCAAAAAGAACCTAATCATAATTGGAGTAAGCTGGACCTCCAAGATTTGTGTGTGAAGGAAGAGATTTATCTCTCTCTTTTTTTTTTTTTACTTATTTTCTTTGTGCCAAGCAGTGTGCTAAATGCTTTGCATGAATCATTTCTCTAAATTCTTATAAAAATCCCATTGTGAAGGTACTACTATTGAAAGTAGACATATTCATCAGTGAATATCTTCAGTAAATGGCCAATTTATTAAACAATTAACTCACTAATTGATTGAGGATGTTTTCCAAATCTGAGCTTTTGATGAGGTCACTGCAGCAATATGGGCAGACACTGGCCAATCCATCTATGCTGACTGGTGTGGACCCCCCCCACTGGCATGTGTTTCACACCCAACCATGGACTTGAATCTGCATCTCCCTCTGGCAGGAAAACTGCTCTGGTCAGGTACTGTAGATCTGGTTTAAGCCATTTGTCTAAAGGCTTTTGAACAAATGGCCAATTGTGCTTCCTAGAAAGTGATTTTGCTTAAGTCTGCTTGTAGGGTATTGACCTAAAATTCACATCATCACCTCCATTTTATGGCTAAGAACCCTGAGGCATGACAAAGTAATTTACCATAGGCTACCGGAGCTTTCAACTACTGTATTTACAACTTCCCTGCAATGCTCACTTTTGATTTCAGACTTCTATTTACTTCGAAATGCCTTCACCCTACAAATCTATAAGGAAATAGTTATCTGAGGATAATGCAAGCCCAGTTTTAGACTATGATATATTCTACAAAGCACACACTTCTAATGTAATTTGATGAATCCTAAGCTAAGGAAGAAGGCAACAAATTTCTCAGATTTCCTTTCATTTATAATTCTGAAACAGGATGTACTGGCTGGAAGGATTGAGAATGGGAGTCTTCTCTGGCCAGGGTCTAATGAAGCTGCCAAATACTGGTTTTTCTGTTTGTTTGTTTGTTTTGTTTTTGTTTTTTGTTTTGTTTTGTTTTTTGAGATAGTCTTACTATGTCATCATTGGTATGGTGCCATGGCATCATAGCTCATGGCAACCTCAAACTCTTGGGCTTAAGCAATTCTCTTGCCTCAGCCTCCCAAGTAGCTGACTACAGGCGCCTGCCACAACGCCTGGCTATTTTTTGGATGCAATTGTCATTGTTGTTTGGCAGGTCCAGGCTGGGTTCAAACCTGCCAGCTCCAGTGTATGTGGCCGGCACCCTAGCCACTGAGCTACAGGCGCCTGGTTTTTTTGTTTTAAGGATGCCAGAGATGAACTCAAAGATCTTGATTCTTAAAGACACCAGGATGTGTCTTCTGTGTTTGCAGAACTGGCTCATTTTGCTAGATGCTAGCCAGCAGCCCATGGCAGCCTCTCCTCTTAGCCAGGGTTGAGGAGGCTGTGGGAGGAAGTTGCTTTGATGGAGAGCAAAACTTAGGGGATCCTATAATTGCCAGTAAGAGCGCAAACTTTGAGAACTTCCCTAACCAGTGTCCTTCAGCTCTAACCTGGGAAACATCCTGGGCAGCCCAAAAAAAGGGTGCCAGGAAAGTGCCACGTGCTTGTTTGACGATATTCCTTGAGGGAACCCGTTAGGTTAGGTAATTTCCCATGGGTCGTATGGTGTAATGGCCAATGTGAGCTATTACTCAATAAATGGGGGAAGCAAAAGAGCCTTTCCACACCATTATAAATCATTTTAATTAGGCTGCTGTAACACAGTCCCAAACCACCATTAGCCTTTCTTATTATTGCTCTAGATTGATTTCTTTTCCCACCTCTCATTTAATACTTATTTTTTAAGGGAAATGTAGGCTGTTGCTTACTTTGAAATTAACACAGTTGTGAAATCAAGCCAACCTAGTTGAAGACGCAGGCTCCTGTTTTGTTTATTTTAGGCTCTCCTTCTAATTTACTTAAAAATAAATTATTGCTGTCTCTGTCCTCTTTGGGTCTTTGTTTATAGTCTCTGGTAGAATTTATAACCACCTTTGTGACGTATTTGTGTTCACTGGTTTCTTTCACTGACTAGACCAAAGGTTGGCAAACTATGGCCCATAGACCAAACCTGGTCCCACTGCCTGGTTCTCTATGACCCACAAACTAAGAGTAGCTCTTACATTTTTAAATGGTTGAAAAAAGGATGAATATTTAATAATATAATGACAATTATGTAGAATTCAAATTCCAATTTCCATAAATAAAGGTTCATTGGAACACGCTTGCTAATTTCTTTATGTATTATCATGGCTGCTTTTACAATAAAATGGCAATGCTGAGTAGCTACAGCAGAGACTTTATGTCCCATAAAGCCTGAAATATTTACTATCTGGTTGACTATAGAAATAGTACACCAGTCTCTGGAATAGATACATTAGAAGCTTCTACAGACAGCAGTTACGTTTTCATATTTCTCCAATTCCTTCCCCTTCCCACAACCCCTGGCACCACCAAACCTCACAAATAGTGGAATTGAGAATTGAAACTCATCCAGACCTGACTTCAACTGGAGATATCTACTCAGTGGCTGCTTGACCTTACACAAGTGATTTAACCTTTCTGAGCCTCAGTTTCCCCCTCTGCAAGATGGGAAGAAGTAGCTTAGCGATCGAGTTATCTAAGGATAATTCAAGACCAGTTTTGACTGTGATGTATTCTATAAAACACACACTTCTAATAGAAGTCAGCAAATCCTAAGCTAAGGTAGAAGATTTTTTAATAATCCAGATTTTTAAATAATTCAATGTAGGTAAATTCTCAAGTTTAATGTCCTGTACATGCTAAGCATTCAATAAATGATACTGTTCTTATGATCACTGCTTTTATTAAGGGAAATGACATTTTCAGCCCACTCTGGTAAAGAAAAAAAAGAAGGAAAAACACATCTTGCCTCTCTTACCACCTCTTACATACTCCTCCTTGGAGAAGAGGGATTTATCTAGGAGGTGGAGTGCAGCCCAGCCACCCTCATCCCATTCTCCTTTGAGGGGGACATGCATCTTTTCTGTTATTCCAGAAGCAGCCTGCTGGGGCCATGGGGAAGCTGGGGTGGGTGGGTGGTAGGATGCTTAGTCTTGTGCCTGCCTGGCTCTGCTAATGTCTGGTTGGGGAACCTCAGTTCAGAGCAGATATGTGAAGATGCCCATGTGCTCTTCAGGCCGAGTCTATGTTTTCCAGGTCAGCTCCAGTTGCTGAAGAGCTAGTAGCTAGATCGCTGGCTTTCTGCTTTGGGTCTCTGTCTCTCAATGGGTTCAGACCTCAGGAAGGGAAGTGAGGGTATCTTGCACTGCCACTGCCCTCTAAATATTTAAAAGGTGTGCCATAAATTCTTATTAAACATTTTTTCCCTTGGGCTATGATGCATTTGAGTGCAAAGTAAACTAGTTAAGAGCACTCTCCAGAAGAGGGATGAACAAGTCGGGATAATGGCCTTCCCCGCCTCCTAAAGTCACCATCAGGGTTAACAGAATTTATGCAAAGCTCTTGGAATGTGGTTTGAGTTATTATTTTATGTATTAAAATAGCATTCTCTGATTATCCATGTTACACATGACTGACCGTGAAAATAATCGGAGAATGTCATGCTTAGCACTTTTACGAGCAGAATCATTCACTGAGGCCATAGCATAACAGCTTGTGCGTGGTTCCGAGAAGATCGCTGGGGCCTACCAGGCAAGAGGATGAATATATAAACAGAGAACCTACACATCTCGTGTGCAGTCATGAATTTGTTGTTGTTGTTTTTATATCACATTTATTATTGAAGGTTTCAAGAGGCCTTTGCGATGATACCTACATCACTACACATGTATACATTTTAAAGAGCAGCATCAGGTTAAGTAACCTGGACAAGGCATCCGAGAAGGGAGAGACACAGCTAGGACTTGAGTCCAGGTCTGTCTTACTGCTCAGCTACCTTGTTATTAGGCCACACCTGGCACTTGCAAACTCCAGAAACTTTGAACTTCTTGCCTATCCCTAAACAAGGGAACCAATTTCATGCCCTGTGCATCCACTTGTCTTTTTCTCTCTGCTGAGAAGTCCCTTTGTCCCATCTGAGCAGCAAACTTCAGTATTTAAAACCCAGTTCACACACTGCTTCCTCTTGAAACCTTCTCAGACATTTACCCCATCTCACAATCTCTAGTCCCAGCAAAGCCGAGATCTCTTCCTTTGTACCTGTTTCTTGGGCATTTGATCTGCCAAATCACTACCATTACTTGCTCCCATTTCACTGGAATTATTTGTGAGGATGTCTGTATTCCCTTACAAAATTCTGCACTTCTTGCAGATTTTCCATTTCTAAATCCCCATTGCATTGTGCTTAGATAATATTTGTTAATCAAGATTTGTTACATTAAATAAAAGTAATCAATAACTACATGCATAGTATGGTAACCAGCTCATCCCAGTTGCTTGGGACTTTTCTGCTTTTAAAACAGAAAGCTTTTATGTCCCAGGAATTTCCTTGATCCTGGGCAAACTGGGATGGCTGGTCACCGTAATGTGTATACTTACACATATATAGATATACTATATAGACACATACTATAGGAATAGACTTCTGGTCTGCCTTCTAGGGAGATGGTACGCACAGGAGACTGACTATCCACTCACCCATGTGGGCAGTGAGCACTCAGGACTGTGCTGGGGTGATTAATACTAATTTCCATCTTGTGGGCAGGGAGGCACTGGCTAGAGTCTACAGGGCGGCAGGGATAGGCCAAAAATGTATAGCTCTCCCCAGGGAGAACAGCACAGGTGAGCAGGTGGCTGCTTCGGATGGGATCCTGATGGGATCCTGATGGCATCCAGAGCCCAGGGAGGTGGGGTCAGCAGGAATCTGACGAGGAGGGAAACCTTGCTCTGTGGGCTGCCTTCCCAGGTCAAGTTGTTGCCAGTTTCCATTGACCATGTCATTAACACCCAGAAAAGAGCCTTTCACCAGAGCAACTGTACCCACCATTCTGTTGCTTTGCTCCTGGTGACTTCTCGGCTTTGGAATTCTTCTCGCGAGGGTTGTCGCTTTTGTTTGTGCGTGTTCCATTGACGTGATTCTTTGCTTCTCCAGAGGTCTTCTTCTCAGCCTTGCCTGCTGTGCCTTCTTCAGCCTGGCTCTTGGCTTCCATTTCCTTCTGCTGCTCCTCCGCGGCCAGGCGGGCCTTTTCCTCTGCTTCCTTCTTGGCCTTCTCCTCTGCATCACAGCAAGTTAGGTGAGGCACAGGAAAGAGAACAAGAGGCCACGCCGTTAGAAAATTATGTCTTTTAATCTACTGAGAGGAGAGAAGATGTTGATGAGTATTTGAGTATACTTCTGGCCACTTCAAGTCAGATTGGCATGTATATTTGGGAAACCAACAAAATAGGTTCATAATGATGCTGTTTCTGGAAATGGTAAGTTAGAGGAAGGTACAGGGAGAAAATAAAAATAGGATAACGATTCATAAACCAAAATTACAGTGGTATCATTAATATTATTGTTACTGATGGCTTCTGTTGCATGTGTCTGCTATGCCAGCTATTCCACTACATGCTTTTCAAGGATTATTTCTTTTCATCCTCAAAACAACCTTGGAGCAGCTACTGTTACTGTGACTCTATTCGACAAATGTGAAAATCAAGGATCAGAAACAATCCAAAAACATTTCTACCACCACAGTAGAAATGGGCATTGTATGTCGGTTTGCTTAGGACCTAGAGTTTAAACATAAATAACGGATTACAAAACAGAAAGCCAGGGAAAATAACCACCACTAGAAAAATACGCATTTAGGACACTGAATTTAAAGATAGAAAGAGGATGATTAAGCCTTATGGAAAAAAAATATGGTCCTCAAACTGTCCGCCAGATGAGAGGGCCATTAGTTTGTGCAGGTGCCTGGTCTGTGTCCTCCTTTCGATAGGGTATCAGCATTGTTTCCAATTTGGCAGATTATAAAAGTGTTTGACTGTGAGCTTAATCAAAAACACAGCATAACTGCATAGGTCAACGCTTACAAAAACACTGAGCCATTCATCCAACTCATATTTATTGAGCAGCTATTGTAAGCTGCCCTGTTTTAGGTCCTGGGAATATAGGCAAACTCATGGGAAAAAAAAACATAATTAAGCAAATAAATGAGTAGGATAATTTCAGATTGTGAAAAGTACTTTGCAAGAGACTTATGCAGAGTAATATAATGAAATGAAGGGGAGGGCGGTGGCATTCGATAAGGAGGGGAAGAAAGCTTCCTTGAGAAAGTGTCATTTGACCTTGAACAATGTACAAGTCCTGAGCATGTAAGGAATAGCATTTCCTGTGGACAAACTAGAAAATGCAAAGGCCAAGAGGTAGGAGTGAGCTTGGTTTGTTTAAAGAACTTTGAGTTAGCCAGTGCGGCTAAAGTAAATTTGGCAAAGAATGAGTGCCAGATAATGTGTTGGAATGACCAAGGACAGTGTTCACATCAAGCATGGCCTTGGAGGTCACAAGATAGAGCTGGGGTTGTAGAGAGTGACCTCATAGAACCCAACAGAGACCATGCTTGCTTAAGTTGAAAGCCTCACCTCTAGCTTTCAATCCACTCAAAACACCTTCCAGCCTGTGTCATCAATCTCCATTGGGAAAAGCACTATTGCATTTTTCTTCAGATTTGTACATGTCTGTCTTAGTTATTTTTGTATTGCTTTAAAGGAAATACCTGAGGCGGGGTAATTTATGAAAAGAGGCTTATTTGCCTCACAGTCTGTAGACTGTGCAAGATGCATGGCACCAGTATATGCTTCTGTCGAGGGTGTCAGGAAGCCACTACTTATGATAACAGGTGAAGGGAAAGCAGGAATGTCATATGGTGAGAGTGGGGGCAAGAGAGAGAGGAAGGGGTTCCATGCTCTTTGAAGCAATGAGCTCTTGCATGAACTAACAGAGTGAAAACTTACGCATTACTGTGGGAAGGCACCAAGCCAGCATTAGGGATCTGGACCCATGACCCAAACACCTCCCTCGGTAGAGATCACATTTCAGTATGAGATTTGGAGGGGACAAACATCCAAACAAATCAGGAGTCCACTTTATTTCTTTTGTGTTAGTCTTGGTCCTGAACAAAAGCTAGCTCTCACAGATACTCTGTTTACCTGTAATCTAATGGACACCAGGTTGCTTATGCATCTGATGACATTTCCCTTTGTTTTAGTTACTAAAGAGCTCAAAGACCACACTTGGTCCAGATTCACATTCATGAGACTCTATGGCATATATTTTGTGGATGTCTTGATGTCTGGCTTTATTCCACTTTTCCCACCCTTACATTTGCTTACTGAAGATGTCCTCCTTAACACATTATGAAGTTTTTATCCTTCCTTTCATTCTCTGACTGATCCATCTATCCATGCAAACCAAATGTCCTGGCCTCACTCCAGACAAATAAAATCAGATTCTGGAGGGAGAAGGGCAAGAGTGTTTTCAATGTTTTCCAGGTGATTCCAATATGCAACACGGCTGAGAAGGACTGATTTAAATTTTAAATGCTTCCATTCAGTATTTCATGACATTCTACTTCTAAACAGGATTTATTTATAACTGACATTGAAATAAAGGAAAGACTTCTTTATAAATAACACAATTATGTGGGTGGGTGGTGTAATATGTCTTCTGTCTTCTACAGGAAGGGACAATTAAAGGGTGAAAGAATACTCTTACAGAAGATGGTGAGACCGCATCCTCGGTAGGGTCCAGGGCCACACTCAGAAGGCCCCTAGCATGTTCACTCAGGCTTCCTCTCTTCCTTCCTTAGCACCCTGAGGACAGGGTACAAATGTGATCTCTGTCACTGAATTCCCAGTGCATGGCACAGTGCCTGGAAGATGTAACACACTCATGAAGTGTTTGTTGACTAATGAAATGTGCCCTGTGGGCGTGATTTCCCCTCTCTGCCAATGTAGCCTTATTTGTGTATATTCCATCTTCAGCAATCTAGGCTGGCATAAAATATAAAATGTATACAAACTCTCAAGTCTTATTCTGAAAGAGTAAGCCATTTGACAAATGTTAGTTTCCTAATTTCCTTAACTGCTAGTACTGGTAAGTAAAAAAGAAAATGACTGTTCTTAATACAGAGAGGGAGATTGAGGCAAGAGGGAGGAGAATTCATTCATGCTCAGAATCTGGTATCAGTTCTTGAAAATAATTTATACTCCCCTCATAGAATCCTCACTGAATCCAGGGCAAACTTTCAGTATTCAAAATATCCCCACGTTGGAAATAAGTTTGATGAAAACTGATGGTGTTAAATTTTGGTTTATTGCAAAAGAGCATAAAATATTATCTCTGCAAGAAAAATCTGTTTGACAACTGAGTCAGACCAATTTTCCATGGGAAATTTAGCAAAAAACCCACTTAAAAAAATCAGTGTGGAGGGTCAGTTTCAGAAACAAATCTTGTTTTGCACATCTGTAATGAACGAATGGCAGCCCTCGGACATCACGATCAAACTAGACGTGCACCTTCCCCTCCATGGCATTCCTTTCTCTGCAACGATCATGCTCCAGTGGGTTGCCCTGCGATGGTCTTTTCCTGCTGTGTTTGACATCTATGTCTGCCTCATGTCTCTGAGATAGGTGACATTAATGGGATCATCTGCACAGAACCCAAAGTGGCAACACATATATAAGGAAAAAAAGCACATCAACAAGAGGTAGGTCTTTTCCCACTGCAACTAGATTCCCTTAGACTTTCAGGGTGAAATTATTGGCATAGATGAGATTCGCCTACAAGGAGAAACACAGGTGAGAACACAGTGACAGAGCATGTGCTCACAGGTTCCAGGGATGGCGTATAACCCTGCACCCCTAGGCTTCTACATTACCTGAAAGAAAACAGCAAGGCTCACCTCTGTTTCCTTTGGGTCCTCCTTTCAAACTATGTGTGGTGATACAATTCAGGAAAATCCCAATGGCAAGCTGGTAAATTGCATTCCTTCCAGGGGAGAGCTATTTCTACCCTACACTGAATGTCTGTACAGTCTGGAGAAATATACTCACTTCTTCATTTAATTTGCCTTTCTGGTATGATGGGTTCTTGGTTAAAAATAACATAGGCTAGTTATCCCTTGATATAATTTTCTAAAATGCCTACTTAAACTGCCTACAGACAAGGGGGTGGGGAGAGAAGAGAATGAGAAAAATATAGAAAGAAACTGACCAATGAAAAAGCCAACCAAAATATTATGTGAATTTCTAATAGTCAAGTCTCAATTGTACACAAGAACGATAGAAAGGCATTTCTAGACATTTAAAGATTCAGGAGGAGTTCCCACAGGAACTTCCTGAAAGTGTTCAGCACAGAAATGCTCCAGGCGAGGCACACGAGTGGTTCATGCCTATTGTCCCAGCTACTCAAGAGGCTGAGGCAGGAGGATCTCCTGAGCCCAGGAATTTGGAGGCTACAGTGAGCTATAATAGCACCACTGCACTCCAGCCCGGGTGATAGAGTGACCCCTTGTCTCTAAACAGCAACAACAAAAAAGTGCTCCAGCTGACGGAAAAATTTAATCAATAATAAAAACTCAAAAATGAGTAAAATATTAAATATGTTAACAATGTACAATGAAACTAGTAAAGCTTAATATTAGACACAAACAATTATTGTTAAACTAGACATAGAACTTGATGCAGATAGTTTAAAAATTTCAAGGGTAAGGTGATTATAAAATAACAATGATGAAGGAAGTGAGTAAAATTCACTCAATTTTTCAGCATTTTCGAAAGCATATTACTATATACCATTTGATGTTTATATTTACAGAGGATTATAATGCAATTAAAAAACTTACAGGTAGTAAGTAAACTAGTAAAATAAAAGTGGGATATAGGTAATGAGATCATAAGCAAAGTCAAAGGCATATGACAATCTGGAGTAGGACAGAAATTGCCATATATTTTGACAACTGTGAAGAATTATCACTTCAATTTATAAAGAATTATTACAAATCAATAATCAGAATATAAATCTAATGTGAAAAAAGACAGGAGAGTAGTATAGAGAAATGGACACTCTGCTATACTTCTGATTGGAAGAGAACATTGATTTAAAAAAAAGTCTAGACAGAAATCTGAAAATACATTATTGAGAGCTTTAAAAGTTCTCATCTACTTTGACAGAGGAATTCCACATCTAGGAATTGATCTTAGATAAATTATCAGAAGTAGGCTCAAGGACTCTTTAACATTATATGGAATAACGAAGAGCTGGAAACCTACATGCTCAGTATCAGAAGAAAGTTTCAACTATGGTGTTCTAGACAATGTGGCCATTTAAATCAGAATATTCAGTACCACGATAAAACACTCCAGACATAAATAGAAAGGCAGGAGAAGAGAATATTATGTTATTACCCAATTTATGGGAAAAAATGTTACTTATACATATGTATAGTAAAACAAACTAAAAAAGAATTACATTCAATTTTAACAAGAGTTATAGAGGTCTGAAGAGGTCGTGTGTAATTTTTATTTTCTTTTGCATATACATTTTTTATATTTATACATTTGTAATCTAAATACATGTTATTGTTACACTGGACAATAAATGTTAAAAACGTTATATGCAGAATAGAAATTAATCTTGATAGGGCTTGGAAATTGTTATACACACATGTATTTGGTTGGGAATAGGGCTTCTTAGCTCTAAGAGCGATAGAAAATATTGATGTAATCTTTCCTAACAACTATGAGTTCTGGCCTCTCTACCTTTGCAAATCAGCTTGGATAAGAAAACCAAGACCCATCTTTGATCAGTTTAATAAAAATCCACGTTCCAGTGCCCTGTGGAAGGCAGACTATCTTGAAATCAGGGTGCTCTGGAAAAAAAGAGCAATGAGCAAAATAACCTGGGATAATCCAGTGCAGACCAACAGAAAACAGATGCAGACTGAGTTGTTTATTAGCACTGGTCCACAGCATTACTGGGAGGCTGAGAATGTTATAAAAGATTAGGTATGGGCATGTTTACCGCTGACTTCTTAAATTTGCATGCACGCCTCTAATCTTATTTTCCAATTTTCCTAACAGCCTTCACTTATTAGGTGCTAGCCATGTGCAGGCTCTGTTCTCAGCATTTTGTACATATATAATTTCTTTTATTCTCAGCAACTCTGTGACATGCATCATCATCTCCAAAATGAAGTCTCAAAGAACTCTCTGAATTTGCCAAAGAACATTGTGTGAGTGGAGATTTAATTCTCCCTTGCCCCCACTAACTGAACTTTGCCTTAATAACCAAATTATCCTTCCCCAAATATGCATAACCCAGCTCCATGCCTTTGTCCTTCTACTTTCTCTTTCTTCCCATTTCTAAATGCAACACCTCCTTCAGGTCTCAAGTTCAGGTGTCCTTCAGGTTCTGCTACACTATACCTTCCCACATGCCCCATCCAGGGAAAACTCCTTTGATGCTTCTAAAACAGCTTAAGGACACAGTATCTCTGTCTGTATACTTAATACATTTAAAAATCCTTAGCTATTTATTTTTCTGTCCTTTTTTGTAAAGGGCCAGTTTTGCCCTAGAAAAGAAACTTCGCAATGTTTCCTCTGGTGATTAGTTTCAGAAGGTAATTTTAGTAACCTAGATCATTGCAAACAAATTATGTTGAAGTACCTCTTTAAATTGCATGTTGTCAGGAATTGAATTTTCAAGTGTAATGAGTGTAATTGATTATAAGGAGCGCTTCTTTTCAGATGATGCAGTAGCTGCCATGCCTGCTTGCAACACCTGCCAAAGAGGGAGGATCTAAAGCATTTAAATGCCCTGGGAGAGGGTACACTTAAAAAATGGAAGAGGTATTGGCTCCTTATATAGCTCAGGGTGCAGTATCTGTCCCGAAATTATAAGGGTCCAATCATCTCCTAAAGCACCATGAATGTAAGTTCTTCACCTCACCTGAAATGAGCAGCCATTTGGACAAGATTCTGTGGACAAGTCACAGAGGGTGGCACATGAATAACTCCAACAGTGAGGATGCTTCTCTCCTACACCCCAACATATGAGAACCAAGACTACTGTTCTGACATGCTGCCTCATAGTACACCTGTGCTTCTCACCTGGTGTGCTGACACCAGGAGGATAAAACTGTGGGAGGTTGTGTTTTGGGAGAAAGCCTTTTTTGCCTGAGTGAGTGTCTAGGGCTCAGGCTGGTGGATGCTGGTTGGAAGTTGGAAGACTTGCACTTGTCACCAGCACCCACAGAACAAAATGCTATAGAAATGTCCCTTCCCCTCCCCTGCCACTAGACTGTCAGCTATGAGGACCAGGATGCCTGTTGCTCATCTCTGCACCTTGGCACTGGCCACAGCCTGGCACACAGAAGGCACATGACAGATGCTAACAAAAACTGTCATTGAAGGCTCACCTCTGTGCAGTCCCCTAGACCAGTCTCCTCACTGGGCTCCCAGACCCGCCCGTGTTTACAGCCCTCCCTGGAATTAGGCATCGCATCTTCAGGCTCCTAATTTCAGGGATGTGCTACCCATGCACATAGGACATCTCTACAGCACCATCAGGCAGCACATGTGGGTCACATCACCTGTGCTCAGTATGCACAAATGCAGAGGAACAAATGAATTTAAGCTTCCAAAAAACACTGGTTTCCATCTTCTCTTGAAGAAGCCACAACTTTGCTAGTCTGAGTTTTGATGATGTTTGCTGGGAAATGTCTGTTTCCTGACAAGTCCCTATCATCTCAGGAGGGTACGTCTACAGTCTGAGCAAGGAGGGAAGGGAAACTGAAAATGTTAGAGGAAGGTAAAATGTAAAAAAGAAAATTAAGTCTCCTTGTATCCCAACATAATGGCCAAGGAGAGGTGGCTGTTGGCTGGGCTTTACTTAAGGAGAAGAAGAAATAGAGGCCTCACAGTCATCCCCCATGACATGTAATGAGAATGACAAGATGGTCTAACAGAAATCAAGTTATAGTAACAGCCATCTTCTATAGAGTCTTCATACCAGAAAAAGTTTAGTCATATAGCACTAAAGGGCATGATGTCGGAGGTCTTGAAGGTCAGCCACATTTTACCATCCATTGAGTGTTCAATATAATGGAGACCAAAAGACGAGAGATCTTAATGTTTGTATCTGCATCTTGAGTGATTATGTTTTATTTGCAGCACCTATGAAGCAGGGAAGGCAATCCCTTGTTTTCATGACTGGGTCTGGATTGGTTTGGGCAGGTCTCCCAGCAGACATTTCCCCAGTAGCACATTACCTTTGGGCACCTTGGCTCTCCATCTCTCCCGATTGATGTGCACCACCTCGGTCCAAGTGGTTTTAAAGCTCTTATAGTCTACAGGGATGACGGAATTGTTGATTGGAGCACTTCCCTCTGACCCAGAACTCTTGACACCTGATCGCTTTGCATCTGACGAGCTGATGCTGTTCAAACTGGAGGACAAAACATTATACCAAAGAAATAGTTAGGGTTTGAGAAATGTCTGCCAAAGAGCAAGCCCAGGTGAGCAGTGGTTAGCACTCATCCAGTTACTGCTGTGAAATTATCATATTTTCCTTATATAGTACCAACATTGTAGCCTTAAGAATCTCAGTATTCCTCATAGGACTTCTGTGCTGATTTCCTGCCTCTTTTTTCCAAAAACCAGAATCACATGAATTTTCTCTGTTCTAGTATCTGAAAATGACTAATTTGAACCTGAATTTCTACTTGACTGCACAGGTCACCCACCTGCTTCCACATTGACCACTTTTCCAAGTTACCCAGCAGCTTGGTCATCTTTCCCTCCAGCCCTCCCCTTCCCTTGCACCCAGGGTCCCTCTGACCCCAGGATCTGTAGGCCCAAGACAAGCAATGGCTTGTCTTTATATGGCTGGGAGAAGAGAGAAAGGTAGAGACAGTGTGGAGGTTGTGGGAGACGGGGTCATGCACACAAACTGACTTTATATGAATACCTTGTGCTTTAATCATGGGGAACTGTGAATATTAGAAAGTATCATCCTTCTGGAAAAATTTAAAGAAATAACTCCTGTTCCCAAGTGGTTAAAGCAGTGACTGTCAAATGACAATGACAGCATTCTGTCAAATGACAATTAAGGCTGACTAGGTAAGCTGGGTGTCTCAGCCAGTACACCTGAAGAGTGGTGGGGCCCTGAGGACTCGGGGTAGGGGTTCTGTCCTCCTCGTTAGCAACCGCAGGAGAGTCAATCCATCTGGACATCCCAGGGCTCCCGCTGTCCTAATTCTCCTCTTGCCTTTACTTTGGTTCCTACTCTTTGCTTTTCTTTCTCTTATTCATTCCACTTCTCTCCTTTCTCCTTTGTAACAGAGCCCAGGATTTTGCATGGAGGGTGAGGAGGAGGAGCGGAGGAATACTCAGAGTATGAGTAATTAAGACTAAGTGTCAGCAGTGTCCTGCTAGACCCTGCTCTGTGGGGACCACTTGTATTAAGTAACTTATTTAACTGTCCCAAGAACCTGTGAGCATTATAATCCACATTTTCTCAGATGAGGAAGCCAGGTAACTTGCCTGAGATTGCACCACTACTAGTGACAGGGTCAAGATTTTTAACCCCAGCAATCTGACTTCAGAGCCTGCACTCCTCAATTGCTAATCTACCCTAGTGACGTGGTGGCAGAAGGTGGTTTCAAACTTCCAGCTTTTTCTCTCTACTTCATTCTCCTCACAAACCTAGACACCAAAAATCAGTTCCACTTTTTGTAAGAACTCTGATCAGTGGTCCTGTGTTTTCAGAATATTAGAAACAAGGACAACCTAGGCGCAGCGGGCAGAATGCAGCAATTGGTGCTGCCATAAGCAAAGGCCAGGAGAGAATGGGGCATGGAGGGGGGCTGGTTCCAGGTACTTGCTGGTCATGATTTGGTCACTTTCTTACAGGTCAGCCTGGAGAGTACAGATAGTACAATTCCAACTCCTCTGGGAGAAGGAAAGGATCAAGAAGACTCCTCTGAGAAGGAGGTAAGCAAACATGATTATGAAATACCGTCTCCATCCCCCACAAAAGAATTCTGTCCTCATGGACAGGCCAACCTCACCCTCAGCCCTCAAGCTCCTCCACTGACCTTGAACGCCTCTGTCCTATCCCACCAGTTTGGGAGGTTTCATCAATTAACGGACTCACAATCTTTTCAGTCATGTCCGTGAGCACAGTGAAGGTGGGTTCCACAATGAAATCAATAAAACCTGAAAAGAAGCAGCAGTGCTTCAGCGGAATGATGCACATTAATTCGGGCCTTTCCTTTCTTTTGAAATTCAGCTACATAGAAAGCTCCAGATCACATTAGGAGAGAATGAGTTGGTCTTACTCATTTAATATGTTCCTTGATTTGAATACTATGAATCAGTTTCATTTCTCCTATAAAACTTCCTAGGACTTTTCAGTAGCTAGGTCAATAAAGTGCTTCAAAATATATATTCAACACCTCCTATGTAGCAAGCACTGGGTTGGGAGCTGCATAAAAGACTGAGCTTGAATAATAAAACCTGTCTTCAAGGAATTCACAGGCGAGATTAAATGAGCACAAATATATATACGGAAGGCCAACGAGGAGCCAAGATAAAGGGCCCTGGGAAGGGGGAGGATATTTCCCCTCCATTGCGAGGCCCACAAGCAAGTTGGTGGAGATTGTGATGTTTGAGTTGAGCCCTAAAGAATGAGTGAGAGACTGTGGGCGGAGTGAGCCAAGTGACAGCACAGGGAGAGTGTGGAAATGTCTGAGGCATAGGGATCCTTCTGGAACTGGGGAAGGAAAATGTTGCTGACAGCTCAAGGATGGGGGACTTTAGTGTCAGGCTAAGAGGTTGGGATTTAGAGGGTACCAGCAGCCCCTGAAGATGTCTGGGCAGCACCATCGTAAGATTTTTTTAAGTGTTCTTGGGAATGTTAACCTGCTAAGATGATGGGAAGGGAGAGAGCATGAGGGGATAAGGAAGGGGAAATAATTTTAAAAGCTGCTGTAACTGCTGCAACAATAGGTAAGGACGGTGGGGACCAGCACCAGTGTGAGGCAGGAACTCAAAGGAGGCTCAGACCCTGCACAGCAGGAGGCAGCGCTGGCAGGTGGGGACAGGATGTGGCTGGGGTCAGAGGATGGCCTCAGTTTCAGAACTGCTGACACTGAGGCACTGGGACACGTCTGGATGGCAGAGGACAAGCTGAGTTGGATGAAATAGGGTTGGAAACTGGGAAGAGGGTCAGATCTTGAACTACACCTCTGTTAGACTGTCACACTAGGAAGATAGTTGGAGTTGGGTTTCAGTGATTCTCTCAGCAGCTCAAAAACACCCAAGTGTTCTGTGATACATCAGGTGAAAAAATATGAGCTGGAGCTAATGGAGCTGGAGCACATGAAAGCTGGAGGGACCTAATGCTGCCCACCCCCCATCGGAAGGGGGTGTTTGGAAATGTATCAAATGTACATTTGATTTTCGCAATGACTGAGGTGAGGTTGATACTGGTATTTAATGCTCAGCAGTAAATGACTCCGAAAGTCCTACAATTGACAAAACAAGAAGTGTCCTAACCAAATACTAATAGTATCCTGATAAGGCAATGCTAATGGCCAAGTTAGTATCCCAAGTAATTGCTCTAGAATTTTAAGCCAAAACTAAAGTGTTTGATGACACCATTTACACCTAAATTTTTTTCTCTCAAGTTCAACTCAACCAGTTGAACTCAACTAACACAGCAGCCTTCCTCCTCAACCTCTGTAAGTGGAACTATGGTCTAACCACTTAGTCTAGATTGCTGCCTTTATTTTGCTTCTAGCCAAATTCTTTACACTTCACATGCCCTTCTCTTGTGGAGAGTCTCTGTGACTACCTAGGTCCTTATATTCATCATCTCTTCCCTGTAATCCTGCAGGAGGCACCCAGCTGCTTTTCTTGCCTCTGATCTTACAAAAGCCCTCCAATCAATCCTCCATGCTACTGGCAGAGATATCGTCCAAAACAGGGCTTGGCAAACTTAATCTGTAAAGGACCAGACAGTTATTTTAGACTTTGCAGTCCGTATCCTATCTATCAAAAATACTTAACTCTACCACTGTAGAGCAAAAGCATCCGTAGACAATATGTAAATGAATAGGCTTAGATGTGTTGTAATAAAACTTTATTTACAAGAACAGGTGGTGGGCCAGATTAAACCCACAGGCTAAAACAAGAATTTATGTATTTTTAAGCTTACTTAAAATTCTTTAGCTCTGCCCTCATTTCCTACAGGAAAGTATAAACACATGCTATTCTTAACACAATATAAAATCTGGGCCTGATATGTCCCTCACTACATCCTTCTTCCTACCCACTGCTCCTGCCATATGGAACTGTGTAGAATTCACTGACCATACTAGGCAATTTTAAGTTTCCCTCCTTTGTATTTGCTGCATACCCTGTCTGGGATGCCCTTCCTCCCATTCCTAACTCACCTCTAATACCTACACATTTGTCATCCTCAGCAGTTCTTACTTACTAACTTGGTAGGACTCAACTCAAACATTACCTCTTAATAAATCTAATAGTTTGCACACTCTGTTTTGTGTATCCCATTGTACTATGTACACAATTTTACCTTGGCATTCCAACATTGTAATAGATTTTTGTTTTTATAACACCTTGTCCACCAGCCAATACTGGTTTAATTTCTTTAAGAGCAGGTACCATGTATAATTTGTTTTGTTTCTATAACATCTGTGATAGTGACTACCAATGCCCAACAGCTAGCAGGGATTCAGTATATATTAATGTGGAGAAAAAAGAATAAGCACAAAAAACACAAATAGAAAAATCAATAAATCATTGTCGAATTTATTTTTGAATGATTTCGGACTCTTCAAGAATGGAGATCACAGACAACATTTAATTTATATAGGGTGCTGGTACCCTCTCTTATAGCTGAGGATGTTTGTAATATATAAACTTATGGTTATCAGCAGTGTGAAAATTATCCTTATCCAAAAAATAGTGCTCTTTTTAAAAAAAGGAAAAGAAGTAAGGAAAGGAAGAAAATATTTTAAAAGAATCATTCCTAGAAGTGAGGTCATTCAGGAAAACAGGGCTAGAAGCGTTAATCAGGAGAAATGCCTTGGGGACTTCTGGTTGCCTGCAGAACAGAGAGGTTGAAGTACAACGGGCTTCCTGCCAATGATACTTGTCATCTCCTTGAAAGTTCTGGCCCCCTTTTTTCTTGACTGGTAAGGACAGAGACACTGTCAGTGTCTGAATCTCCATGAATGAGCCACATTTCAGGAAGAATGAACCCACACAGGCAAAGCCATGAGCACAGCGTGACAGACTGGGGCCCGTTTCTCAGCCAAAGACTCACCGCGAGCGTCTGAGCTTAATGCCACAGCCATCCCACCCTGCTGTCTCCTTCCATTGAAAGAGCTGGCAAACACGTACCTACTTGCGACTGAGCAACCATAGTCGACTTCCGGTCACACAGAGGGGAAAACGGCAGCCCCAGCTCCGCTTCTCTGTCACCCTAGAAACACAGGACATCATAGTAAATCAGGGAGCAAGAGGCTGAGTTGCTCAGATTTGATTTCACAACTTCAGCTGCCACAAAGGCACCTGGTGTTTATTTTAATTACGACAATTACATTATGTAGGACGTCCTAATGGAGACTGCTCCTCTGTGTAAGATACCAAGAGGCCGAAGCCCTCTGGATCTAGTCATTCCATCCAATTGCAAAGGCTCAGGCTGTTGGAAAGAAAGCCTCCTTGGGCCACAGTAGGTCTCCCCCACCCCCACCCCCCCAGAAAATAAGGCAACAAGCAATGTGTCTTGGGACTAGACACTGCAGTCAGAATTCCTGTTTTCTCCAGCTGTCCTGTGCCAGCCTGTGGCCTTTCTCTAGCCAGTGGCCCCATGCCAGCTGTGTGCAGCGTCTAACACTAAAACTGAAACTGAGCTGACTTGGGTTTATTCTAGTGCCAAAGCCACACACAGCTGAAGTAGGTGCTTCTGGGATCTTCACCTCAGGGGTCAGTCCATAATGAAAAGCGGACCACAAAGGGCTTGAGTAAATAAGTTCTCGCTCATGTCTATCAAGTCAGACTACAATAAAACATGATTATGCATCCAATATATTCTCAGTCTCACCAAAAACCATCCTACAGCAATGGAAAGTCTAAATAATGATAGAGATGATTTTTAAAATCTTGAACCAGGAACTTAACACTTCAGTTATATGCCTAGAGAAATAAGGAAAATGGGTCACCCCTCTTACAGGAGTGAAGCTGTACTAATTCATTTTCCTGGCTTAGGGTATTGGCTACTGACTTAAGCTTGAATCCTACCTTTCCCTAATAGATACGTGATTGGTGATAGGAAGGTTATTTTTCTTCCCTACATTTCAGTTTTGTCCCTTGTTACATTTGGGATAATAACCCCTACCTCAAAGGGTTATAATGAGGATGAAATGAGAAAAATGCAGTAAATTTAATAAAAAAAACTATGGAAAGATTTACTCTTTCCCAATAAGTAGCTCTAATTTTTAAGGCCAAGATTTGAGAAACATTTAGTGAATTTTTTACACCTCACACAATCCGATTGTAATGAATATCACCAATAAATTAACAGTAAATATAAAGTAATTACAGCCTGCAACCAGGCCTCATTCAAAAACCAAATGCTTTTTCTTTCCGAGGCATGCTACCAAAGAGAGAGGATGCTAGCTCACACGCACACGGAACGGCAAATGAAAGGACGGAAAAGGAATGGGCGTCTGAGGAAGCTGAATAGTGGGTCACAATGGGAACTAGGGACATCCAAGGGTCTCAGGAACAGGCCTGAAGTGGCTCAGTTCCTCCTGCACCCTTTTCCTGTACATCTCATGGGACACAATGGCTTCTCTGTTCCCAATACGACTTGCTAAGGACGTCTCTCTCTCTCTCAAGTGGCAGCAAGAAGGTAAGGAAGCATATTTATGACATCATCTAGTGGTGTAGACAATTTAGTGGGATACTTCAGCTAAAACAAATAAAACCCTTTTTTATTTCCCGTGGTTTAATATCAAGTATACAGGTTATTGTTGGTACATTTTAATGGAGAGTGGGAGGCTGGACACTTCCCACTTGGCTATTAAGGTATAAACATTAATTTGGATTTCATTACTGAAAAACTGCCTAATATTAAACAATTTCTAATTTCATGAACTTTCCCATGCCCAAATGTACATAAAATTTATATCTTTTGTATTTAATTGAGCTGAGCAGAACCAATTATTAAAAGCCTACCTTTAAAAAGGGCTCATTGAATCCCCTGGGAAGAATTGAAATTCTTATGAATTGAAAAAAATGTGTTGAAAGTAATGTAGAGGAATGGACTTGTATTGGTGAATCTAAGTGGGCTGATAACACAGTATCATATGATTCTTATAGTTACTGACCCTTGTGGAATTAATTATATACTTTTCTCTTTATTGAAGAGGTCAACATTTTCAACAAATGGCAAAAGTCTCAGTTTTCACCAAGGACTATTTTTTTTTTAACTAACTCATTTTTTTCCTTCTAGGACATGTTAAAAGAATAAATAATGACCATTTCTGTGGCAGGGGTTGAGAGAACTCCACTGATAAAGTCCTGTAGTTGATACGCAAAAGGAAGAGGATGAATATCTCTTGAACGAGTAAAAAAAAAAAAAAACTTGGGTTTGAAGCACTCAAGTTTCTTGAGCCACTCAGATATTTATAACAGACAAGCTAGAGAAAGAATGAGGCAGGTTGCTGTGCACAGGTTGCTGTGCTGTTGCTGTCCATCCTTCTCCTCTTCCCTTTCCACACAGCTTCATTATGCTGTTTAGAATCACTGCTAGTTAGTGCTTGGTAACAAAACAAGAGAACCTGGGCTGCATTTCCACTACAGTTGAGGCCTGAAAAACCTCCTGTGCTTGCTTTTCTATGCTCTTTCCCCCTTTGCTGGCTTGAAGTAGACAAGCACCTTGGAGTCAGGTAGATGGCAGAGTCTGGTCTAAAGTCACTGCTTACTGTGGAACCACCTGCTAATCAAAAAACACTCGTCCTGTTCTTCACACGAATAGGTGATAAACTTCCATTTGTGTGTGCTGTTCCACATTTGGGGGTTTGTTCATTATGCCAGTTATGTATAAACAGCAAACCAGTCAAAAGAAACAAAGTTCTTTTCTGTATTGGAAGTTCACAGAGAAGCTGACATCTGTCAGTGAGAGAACTTCCAAAGATGTTTAGGTCATATGCCAAGTGAGTCTTTCTAGGTGGAGTGAAGAAGGCAATGGGAGGATCAAGCTGAAAATAGTGCAGCAACAGATACTCCTCTTTCCCCAGGGAAGAAGGCATAAACATAAGGTATGACAAAAGCATTGTGATTTGGATTTAAGGTAGCATAGTAAAGTGTTGGCCCTTTCCTCTCTCAGATATTGAGGAAAATGAGACACAGAAATGCAAACACAAATACTGGAAAAAATCTGTAATCTCAAATCAAAACTATACAAGGAAGGGCTGCCAGATACTGGGAGTATCAGCGAGGGATAAGGCGAGATGCCAAGAGGCGTGGTGGGGAATAGAGATTGAATTGTGAAAAGCCCTGCAACCACTGCCCACTGTAGTCTTGGAAAAAGTAAAGGCTAACACACCCCACTTCGCAAAACCAAGGGCAATTCCAGCCGGCTTACAACACTCCTACTCTGATTCTCCCTAGTACAAATGCTTAAAAGTTGCTCTAAACAGAAGGCATTTTACTCAAAGATAATAAATAATAATAATAAAGTGAAGAAGGAGGGAGAACGTGATGGAGGAGAAATGAAGAAGGGGATGAAGAGGGAAAAATGGAGGGGAAGAAGAAGAGGAAGAGAAAGAGGAAAAGGAAGAAAGAGAAGAGAAGGAAGTACTATGTACCAGAGTCAGCAGCAGAAGCAGCAAAAACAAAACAAAATGTAATCAACAGATGGGGAACACTCATCAGAAAAATGGTGCCACAGAGTGATGGCAAAACCAATTGCTATTAATAGCAATTATCAAGGGCTCAAGGGAACAAAGCAAGGAGAGCACAGGGGAGATGTGGAAAAGAAAACCAGAGCCGTCTAACTAATGAAGATTGTGCTGGTAGCAGCACACAGGAGAACTGTCCTTCATGAAAATACATTAAGGGACGTGGACTAAAGGAATGAAAAAAAAAAAAAAGATCAAACAAAACGTTAAAGAAATACAACTGACGTGGAGAAGAGACAAAACAGAGGCAACACATGCTTAATTGTTTTCCCTAAGTAAGAGAACTAAGTGAACGGAAAACATCAAAAGATTTAATCAATGCAACCTGAATCTATACAGGAAAAGAACGCCCACGTCCCCAGAAAAGCTAACGTAGAACAGTCATTACTGAAACACACCCTAGCAATGTCACCAAGCTTTAAGGCAGAAGAAATAATCTATAGGTTTGATATGTTTGAAATTTTCCAAAGTCAAGTTTTTTCCTGAAAGAACGAATTCTTAAGGCAAAGAGATAATCCATAAGCAGAAAGATACATCATCCATATGTGGAAATAATTCCAGTATGGCCTCAGCTTCTTCAGAGCAACATTCAAGGGTGAAGACATTTGGGTTATATCTAAAGATCTCAAGGAAAGAGTTTGATCCAAAAATGTCCGACCCAAGTATTGCAATAGAAAAACTTGCAAGCATGCAGGAATGTGGTTTCCATGAGTGCTTCTAGAAGAAACCATTTGAGGACCAACTTTGCCCACCTCATACTGAATAGGACCTAGACAGGAAGGACAGCTGGAGAACTACGCTTTGCCAGATGACTTATTTTCTACCTTTCTGAGTCATACTGTTTGGGGTTGGTTTTTGTAAACAGCGTAGAGTATATGAAAGAGAATGCTCATGTAAAAAAATCAGGACAACTTAAAAAATATTATAGCCAACAAATAGTAACAAGGAATTAGTTACACTGTGAAAGGAAAGAGGGAACGGTGTTGAGGGGCAATACATAAATACCAGCTTCCTTGTATTTTATAGATGGTATAAAAATATATCATTTAAATCTGATATATAAAGTAAATAATCAAGGCACACACTAGCAGAACTAAGCAAGTTAATAAAACCATATAGATCGAGTGTTGGGAGGAGGAGGGAGGAAATAGAAGTTTACTAATTTTTATAGCAAAGAAGCAACAGCAATAAATAGAGGACTTTATGTTTTTATTATCAAGGTCACCACTAGAGAATCTAAAAACCTAATAGAAAACTGCCAGATCATCAGAAGACACAAACAAATAGTAAAGCCAGTGGCACAGACTATATTAGTGAGCTATTTTTTAAAATACGTAAGAACAGAAAAGATAATATAAACTATGATAACACCTTAGCTCAGTGGTTCTCACTCAACCTTCCTAATGCCTCGACCTTTTAATACAGTTCCTCATGTTGTGGTGACCCCCAACCATAAAATTATTTTGGTTGCTACTTCATAACTGTAATTTTGCTACTGTTATGAATCGTAAGGTAAATATCTGATATGCAGGCTGGTCTTAGGCGACCCCTGTGAAAGGGTTGTTCAACCCCCAAAGGGGTCACGACCCACAGGTTGAGGACCGCTGCCTTAGCTCCAATGTTTCTATCATTTCAGTAGATGTTAATGTGGCTGGTTTAGATAAATAAGAGAAAAGAACCTTAGATTGACTCATTAAAAAACTCAGTTATATACAGTGATTAAGACACACAGAAATCAAAGTGCCTCTGAAAAGTTTAAAGTAAAAAGCTATGCAAAGGGGCAGCACCTGTGGCTCAGAGCAGTAGGGTGCCGGCCCCATATACCAGAGGTGGTGGGTTCAAACCCAGCCCCAGCCAAAAACTGCAAAAAAAAAAAAAAAAAGCTATGCAAAGATGGGATTTTATTCTTAATATGAGTCCAATTTGAATTCTAGGAAGAGCATCAGCTGAGACAAAGAAGAGGCCTTTAAATGATGAAGGGTGTAATAAACTATGAAGGTCTAGTTATGAATATCCAAGAACCACATAACATAAAATCAGCATTTATGAAGCAAAAACTATGTTTCACAAAAAGAGAAAATAACAGAAATGCCTGCTAAGCCATCATAAAAGATGATGATCTACCCATGAATGGATTAATAAATTGTGGTATATGTATACCATGGAATACTATGCAGCCTTAAAAAAGATGAAGTCTTTTCCTCTTTTATGTTTACATGGAGGGATCTGGAACATATTCTCCTGAGTAAAATGTCTCAGGAATGGACAAAAAGGTGCTCAGTACTTCTATGTGCTCAGTACTTCTATGAAACCTACTTATATTTACTCTCACTTTCTTATGAAAGATAGAACACAACTATAGCCCAGGATGAAGGAGAGAAATGGAGTGGGAAAGGAGGGGAGGAGGGAAGTTTGACAGAGGGAGGGTAAAAGGCGGGACCACACCTATGGAGCATATGACAAGGGTACAAGTCAAATCTGTGAAGTATAGAACATAGATGTTTTGGCACAATAATCAAGTAAATGAGGTGAAATCTATGATGATTGGTTTGAAGTAATCACGTCAGATTGTATAAAAAAAATCAGCACATTGTACCTCACATATGCATGAATGTATTCATGATCTACATGTATTTGACTTAATAAAATTAAAAAGAAAAGTGATGCATAAAATACCTAAATGGTATATTTAAGAATGTAGATGTATCTGATGTTCTTTGAACTCTATATTCTGCAAGTAGGAAATAAATCTACTTTTCAAGAGTCATAAACATTCACAAAAGTCAATTATATATAGGTGATATGCAAGTTTCAAAACAAAAAATATTCTTTGATCAAATTTCAATAAACACAAATTAATTACAAAGCTATTAAGCAAAGAAACCTGCCATTAAAAAATTATAAACAAGGAAACAAACCCTTCAATCTAAAGCAACTCTTAGACAAAACAGAGATCAAAATTATAGAATATTTAGCAAAGTATGATTGTGAACACACTGTAGATAAGGACCTATGAGATTCATGATAAGAAAAAGACAAACTCCTAGCTTCTATTTCTAATATTAAGCAAGCAAAAATGAAACTATGTATCCAACTCAGAGAGTTAGACAAAACCTCAAGCAGATGAAATGAATTAATAAAAATGAGAATACTAATTAAGGCATCATAAAACAAAAAAGAAACAATAAAACAATTAAATAATTAGGTAGTTTCATAGAGAAAGAAAGAGAAAACCTAATATATGAAATAAAAATGGGAAAATAATCACAAATTTAAAGGAAAGTATAAGAATTACAAGAGATGTTTGCAAAATATAAAAATATACAATAAACATTAGGTAGGGAAGAGGGCAAACGGGTGACCCAGCATGTAGAGGAAGTGGCTGAGGGTGGAGAGTGGGAATCAATCTGAATGCAGAAAAGAAACCACAATATTAGGTATCTGTGGCCAGAGACTTTTCCCTGGCTGAAGTAATTGCATTATGGAGATCCTAGTGACCTTAACTGACCTGGGGTCATTACTATCTAATTAGCATTATGGTTTTTACAACCAGTGGGTTTTTTGTTTAGGATTCTGGGAAGATGCATGCACAGAAAGGAAACTGTCATATAACCCCAACCCGTCACTCACTCAGAGGTGGGAAACAGCCACCAATCCCAGCCAGGAGAGAGGCAAGACAAACTAGTGGGCCTATAAAAGACGGTGTGTACTAAGATTTGAGGGTCTTCACTCGTGGAGGGTGACCTATCTCTCCTTCTGAGATGTATTTTTGCCTTGCAATAAATGCTGTATGTGTGAGAATACTTCATATTTGTGATCACTCTGTCATCAGCCAGACCTGGTACCAGTATTTATTCCTGACATTGGGAACCAAGTATCAGGGATCATCAGGGCAGACCCAACAATAAAACAAAGGAAGTGTATCTTAAGACTTTTACAAAAAGAGGTATTTACCAAAGAGACATACTTTTACTTCCCTAAAGTCAGTATTTCATCAAAAATCACCCTGAGGCAGTGGCTTAGATTTTGTAAAATATGGTTATAAAATAGAAGCTGTAACTTACTCTTTTAGAAAGGCATAGAAGCTCTGGTCCATCTGTACTGAGGCTATGCCCTTATTTTGAAATACAACCCAACTTTCCAAATGTAACTTTTAAAAAGACTTCACAGTCCCATTGAGATTTCCCATTTGAACTGTCCAATTTAAAATCTATTGTTAAGAGCTGAGGCAACACTTCTCCTATGTAGGTTATTTACTATGACTTATGGCACCTAGGTTAAAATATTAGGTCAATAAAAATAATTTACTGGCTTATAATTACCAAAAAATAATTCCAGTCCGGAGAGCTAACATTCCATTCACAACAGGCAAGAAATTCAATATGGTATTTTCACATTGCCTCCAGCACATTTTCCTCAATTCAAGCATATGTGTTCATACACAAACAAGGTTTCCTTTACGAGGAAAATAGCATTCACACATTTAAGTAATTCATATTCGTTCTCTCATAATTAAAAAAGGAATCACTTCAATATCCCACACTTATATGAGTTAGCTATGATTTATCCTTTGGCCACAGATCAAACATGCCTAGCTACTGGGGGTGTTATTGTAAAAGTATTATCAAAGAAAGCATATGACAAGGGAGTGGATATTTGGAGAAAATCTTCTTACTAATATTAGAAAAATAGCTTAAACTGAACCTTCAATGAAGGATGTATTTGCAGAGTCACCTGTGTCACTCTAGTTCCTCCACACCATTGGGTTCCCCTTGAGAACTCTTTGGGACACCAAGATGACTTTGCAAAAAGAAATAACTACACGCTGAATAGGGTTCCTGCTGGTGTACACATGTAATAGCTGGGGGGTACATATATGTGTGTACGTGTGTGTAGGTGGACAGAGTGAAGGTAATGCCACGTGTTTAATGCTGAAAAGGTCTTAAGAAAACATGTGATTTGAACTTACCCTAAATCCTTCTCCACCACACACAAGAAAAACCTAAATCAAGTAAGACTATTGGGAATGAGATGAGTAATGTCATTAGACCTAGACCAAAAGCTAGGTAGTATAAAATCTCTACCAAAGAGCCTTCTGGCTTTGGTTTAACATGCTCTTAACTCTAGTCCTAGTTCATTACCAGACTGGACAGCTTCAGAAGGAAATACATACACACACACCCCTTATGTGATACAATTTTTACACTCAAACTAGAATCGTAAGAGTAAGAATAATTACAGAAGTATTATCTTCTTCCACAAGTCTAAGTTATATGATTTACAACCAGCAAAAGATCCTATCTCTTGTCTTTGGGGAGCTAAGTTGAGATTAATATTCATAAGTATTGTTTTATGGCACCTTAGAGATCTCTGAATCTATGCTATTAAACTTTTTGCTTGAATTAACAAGAATTAACTGTATTTATTTGGGTTAACTGTGATTTAGGTCCTCAAGTCTGCATGTTACACCTTCAGCCTCAGGCTGGCACATCTGGAAGCAGACAGATGTCTAAATGGCAGCTCTTCTAGAGATGGGGTTAGCGCACGTGAGCACACTTGAGAAATTTTAGTCTCAGTGCTATGCATTTATTTCCCTTTCAATTTCTCTAGTTCTCTTTATGTTTTTTGTTTATTTGTTTTAAAGCAAAGTATACTTCTTAAACACTCTTTCTACTCTTAGAGACCATACAACTCTGGATCTTAAGATGTAGTTAAGTTTAAATATAATTATAACAGTAGTGCCAAGTGACTTCCTGACCCCAAAATGCCACACCTGGTTTTGGAATTTCACATCATGGGTTTGTTAACTCAAAAGAAACAACTCAGTCAATTATAAGAGAGAAATGAGTTTAAGATTAACATCTTACTCCCACAGGGCAATGCCACAGCAATTGTCATTTTGGCAATTTACTAGAAAAAAAGCAAAAACAAAAAAAAAAGAAAAAAACCAACTCCTTAAATGACACTTTGACAAAAGATTGCCACAAGGAAACACTTTTTTTTATTTCCCAGCACAAATGTCCAACTTAGAAGCACCATGTTCTGAGACTTAGCACTATAGTAAGACTCAAACATTACATGATCAGAAAGACAAAAAAAAAAAAAAACCAACTATGGAACCAACCCTCCCCCGACAAAGAAAATCACTGTACTCTTAGTCATCTTTATCATAGTGTTGCTGATATGTAAAATTCATAAACCATCCAATGATGATATCCCGGTGGACAGCGGAGCAGCGAGCTACCTGTCGGAAGAACTCCTCTAGCAGCGACATTGTCCACCGATGATGGAGATCCCACGCTTTGGCTGGATGGCTAATATCTGCCGTATGCAGCATAAGGGATAAGGCTTTTGGCTTTTCAATTCTGTAAAACAAAAGCACCTAAATGCATGATGCCCACTCTCTTCAGACTCTCAGTCACCCTGGGTAAAGTGCCATGGCGTCATCACAGCTCACAGCAACTTCAAACTCGGGCTCAAGCAAGATCCTCTTATCTCAGCCGAGAGAGTAGCTGGGACTGCAGCCATCTGCCATAGCACTGGGCTAGTTTTCCTTGTTTTTTAGTAAAGACAGGGTCTCACTCCACCTGCCTCAGCCTCCCAAAGTGCTAGGATTACAGGCATGAGTCACACTGCCCGGCCAAATCATTATTTTTTTAATCCATTTTACTGTCCTGTCTCAACCCCTACATCAGCTAAATTGGAGAAAAGGCATCGTTTCATTCTATAACTGGGCTATTCATCAGCTTAGTCTCTATGTTTATTGAACCAGACTCATTTGACTCAAACCCATTTCTAAAATAACTGCATCATTCAAAAAGACAACAAGAATCTAAGAGTCACTGACTTTTACTTGTTGTCTCTGCATTAAGTGGATCTTCGATAACTTAGTTTCCCACAGGGAAATATTTTAAATTCTAATTGGGAAGAACAATTACTGGCTCTATTGTTTATTTCAGCCTTGATGAGAACATATCTAATTGTGACATGTACAATTTTCGTGCTCTTTCCACCAAACATCATCACTTCATGAGATCACTCAATAAGGTCAGGTTGAAAGAGATAGGTTTTAAACGGATGAAAACACGGACAAGCCCCAGTTCAAACATCTGTACAAACACAGACGTCACAGGCCCACTTACGCTTCTGGCTGCTGCAGAGCAGTCTTCATGGCTTTGATTTGTTGAAAATGACAAGACATATCTGTGGCCATCACCATCTCAATGACCAAGGTTCGAAATTCCCTTGTAGGGATATCCATGGAGAAAAAAGGATAGAGGTGAAAAATGGAAAGTAAAAATTAGTTTATTTTTTGACACTTCTCATTGAAGTCAGTTAATTATTTCTGACATATCTAATCTCATTTGCGTTTTTGAGGTTAGCTTGTTTTTATAAGGAATAAATAAAGGTTAAGGATTAAGGAAACTATTAGGAACGTGATATGTGGAATACATGTATAACTTGGAAAATTAACTCTCAGGAAAAATTCCAACAAAACTGAAAAGTATATGAAAGCACTTCTCAATTGAATTCAGAGTTTTAAGAAAGAATTAACTTGAAAATATCCGCGGAGACAGATTGATAATCCATATTCCACTTTGAGTATAGGTATGTCATCTTTTAGTAAAATAGACTTTATTTTCTAGAGCAGTTTTAGATTTATAGAAAAATTGAGCAGATAGTATAGTGAGTGCCCAGGCACCTGTCTCTCTGCACAGATTTTTTCTTATTTTAATATCTTGCACTAGAGTGATGCAGTTGTTATAACTGATGAGCCAATATCGTTATAGTAACTACAATCCCATTGTTTACATCAGGGTTCACATGTTGTCCAGTTCTGCTGGTTTTGACAACTGCATCGTGGCACGTGTCTACCCTTACAGTATCACGCAGAACAATTCCAGCACCCTAAATCTCCTGTGTGCCACCTGGTCACCTCTCCCTCCCTTCCCCCAAACACTGCCAACCCTTGATCTTTTTCTGCCTGTAACAACTTCATTGAGGTATAATTTATATAGAATAAGCTGCTTCATATAAACTATGCAATTCAATGAACTTCAACACTTAAACAAGCTTTTTAAAATACCCCTGCAATCATGATACCAAAATTTCTATCACTAGCCCAGGCAAATTTTAATCTGTTTCTCTCTATAGAATAGTCTGCATTTTCTAGTTTTATACACACACACACACCACACACACACACACACAGTGCCAAAAATGTGCATACATTTTAAGAAAGGAAAAAAACCGTATTAAAATTGTTAATATTCAAAATATAGTGATAATACAAGTCACATTTGACTTCTGCAATTACGAGAAGTGCTTAAAGTGATTGCCATCAACATCTAGACACTTCTGATTACAGTGAATGAAATACAGAGATAACATATTTTAAAATGTGTATACATTCTTTGGCACTCCTGGAATATATAGACACACATATATATATGTGTGTGTGCATGTGTAGGTAAAATATATATATATGTGTGTGTAGGTATATAGGTATACATGCATACGTTAATATATCATACATTAAAATAGGCACTATATATACACATATGTTCCCAGGTATGTACACGACAGATATAAATTAAAGAATGCACTCTGTTGTTCCTGACTTTCACTACTAAACATAATGATTCTTGATTTGTCCATGTAGGGGTTCATCAATAGTTTATTTTCTTTTGTTACTGAATAGTAGTCCATTGTATGATGATATAACGATTTATTATCCTCTTACCAGCTGATGGGCATTGGAGTTATTAGACTCTAGTTTGGGGCTACTGTGATTGAAGCTGCTGTGAATATGCATGTATGACACTATGTGTAGATATGTTTTCATTTCTCTGGGGCAAACATCTAGAAGTAGAATGGCTGGTTATAAGACAGCTCAATGTTTGACTTTATAAGAGACTGAATTTTCACAGTGGTTGTATCACTTTATATTTTGATCCTGAGCTTGTGACGTTTCCAGTTTTTCTTTAGCTGGTCTTGCCGCCTTTAATTTCAGCCATACTTCTAGAGCATGTGCAGTGGCGTCTCATTGTGGTTTTCATTTCTTTGAAAAAATTTGCATTTCTTTTCTGACTGTTGATGTCAGGCACCTTTTCATATTTTGTTTAGGAAAATGTCATTTCAAAACTTTCCCTCTTTAAAATTGGGTTGTTTGTTTTATATTGAGTTGTAAAAGTACCTTACTTTACATTTTGCATACAAACCCTATGTATGCATTTTATATTTTTCGTTCTAGTGCGAAAAGAAAATTTTAATTTTGTTTTCCAATGGTGTGTTGCTAGTGTATATTTTTTATATTAACTTTGTAGTATGTAACCTTGTAAGATTCATCATCAGTTCTATTAAAAGTAGCTTCTCTATAGATTCTTAAGATTTTCTACTTAGACAATCAAGTCATCTGCTGATATAGACATCATACAATGTTGATGAAATTAATAGAGATCCTTGTCTTATTCCCCCAAAGCATTCAGTATTTCACCATTAAGTTTGATAGCTATAGATTTTTCACAGGTACTCTTTATGTAGATGTTCCTTTCTGTTTCTAGTTTAAGAGTTTTCAATAAGAATGAGTGCTGAATTTTGTCAAATGCTTTTTATAGATCTATTGAAACGATTATATGCTTTACTGTTTTTTCAACATAATGAATTATTTCTATCAGTATTGAATTAATCTTATATTCCTAGAATAAATGCTATATATTAGACAGAGTTCTCCAGAGAAACCAATAGAATATATACATACAGAGGAAGAGATTTATTACAAGGAATTGACTCATGCATTTGTGGACATCAACTAGTCCTAATATCTGCAGAGTGACTTAGCAATTTGAAGATTCAGGAGAGATAATAGAGTGGTTCCAGTACAAAGATCAGCAGGCCTAGGACCCAGGAAGAGCTTATGTTTTAGTCCAAAGGCAGGTAGAAAGAATTCTCTCTTACTCAATTAAGAATATTCTCTTACTCAAGTAAAGGTCAGCGTTTTGTTCTATTTAGGCCTTCAGCTGATTGGATGAGGCCCATTCATTTTAGGAAGGGCAATCCGCCTGCCTTACTCAATCACCCATTTATATGTTAATCCCATCCCAAAACACCCTCAAAGAACCATATGGAATAAAGTTCAATGAAATATCTGGACACACTATGGCCCAGACAAGTTGACATATAAAATTAACAAATTAACCATCACACTCTGCTTGGTTTTTATATATTATTATAATTTATATATTATTAATTTTTTTTTTTTTTGCAGTTTTTGGCCAGGGCCGGGTTTGAACCCACCACCTTCAATATATGGGGCCAGTGCCCTACTCCTTTGAGCCAAAGGCGCTGCCCTATTTTTAAGGATTGTTATAGAATAATATCTATGTTCACAAGGTACATTGATCTCCATATTCATCTTTGAGGCATTTTTGTCAAAGTATTGTATCAAAATTATATCTCATAAAACAAATTGTTGATTATCTATTCCTGTTTGTTGTGTTCTATTGTGTGAAAACAATTTTATTACAACTTCATTCTTTTTTTTTATTAAGTCATATACATATAGATCATGAATACATTTATGCATCTGCGGTTCACAGGGCATAGCATTCTGTGTTGACATTTTTTTCTTTTAGTACTTTAAATGAGTTATTCCATTGTCTCTAGTTTTCACAGTTTCTGATGAAAGATTCACAGTAATTCATATTATCCCCTATAAGTAATGTCATTTTTCTCCAATTTTATCTTTGACACCAAGCAGTTTAATTACAATATGTGGTCAGGTGTACTTTCTTTAAATTGGTCCTGTTTTAGGTTTGTTGAGTTTTGTGAATCTATAAACTTATATCTTTAACCACATTTAGGAAGTTTTCAGTGATTATTTCTTCAAATATTTTTTTCTTTCCCATTTTCTTTCTTTCCTCTGAGGTTCCAATTACTCTTATGCTTAATCATATGAAATTGCCATTCAGTTCTCTAAGACTCTGCTCATTTATAAACATCTATTTTCTCTTCTTCAAATTGAATAATTTCTAAATTTGAAATTTAAAATGAATTGACTGATTCTTCCTTTTTTCTTCTGTATCTTGCTACTAAGCCTATGCAGAAAATCTTAAATCTAGATACTTTCTTTTTCAGTTCTAAAATGTTTGTTTTAGAATTTAAATTTTCATTTTACTTCTAAATTTTACTATATTTCATTCATAATAGGCGAATTTTATTTTACTTCATTGAACATAGATACAACTGCTTTGAAAGTCCTTGTCTGATAATTCCAACAATGGGTATCTTGGAAAGTATATCTACTGGTTGTCTTTTCTCTTGTAAATAAATCATATTTTTCTGTTCTTTCTATATCATTTAGATTATATAAATATAAAGTTCTAGAAACTCTGGGTTCTGTTTGCTGTGCAAATTACTGATACTTTGTTTTAGCAGCTAATTAGCTTACTTACACTCATAATATAAGCTCTTTACAGTTACAGTGAGCAACGTATTGGCTCTCAACTCAGGCTGCTTTTAGTCTGCCCCATGTGTGTATAATTCAAGTATAAAATACCATATTCAAGTATACAATGTTATGTAAGTGTATATAATTCTGCCCATAATCTTGGTCAGAGGTTATAGCAGAATTTTAGTTTCTCATTATTTAAATTTCTCTTTTCTGGGTTCTACCTCACTCTCCATAATCTCTGGCTTTTCCAGGTCCCCAACTTGATTTCTCTAACCAGAAAGAAGGTAGAGTTTTTATCAGAGATATATTTAGCCAATGCGTGGTCGCCTTAACTGAGACGTTTTGCAGAGTTAGTCACAAAACCAGCAAATGCACCAATTTTGATATCCTTTCAAAATCGACCTGACTTTGTTCACCCTTTTGAGCCCTCAAATCATTCTTTTTTATAAAAAAGAAATCTTGCCAGTAGTATTTATAATAGTTGTTATTTGCAGGAGGCTTAGTTTTTAGCAGCTTATTTAGTCTGCCAAGAGCAAAACTTCATGTTAGTCTACAGTGAAATAAAGTATCTGGTAATATATTCATTTCCAATGGTTCTCTAAAGTCCAAAGCATTTATGTGTCCAAATAGAATCCATCAGCTACTGAAATTATTGTCTTAGAAAAACGTAGGATACTAAACATATGCTATCTTTTGGTTAGTAAAATTAACAAAGGGTCTTAAATAATAAATTAATATTTTATTAATGTATAATAATAAATTAATGTGTTGGGTCACTATATCTAAAAATTAATAAAATACAATAAAATAACAAAACAGTATTGTAAAAGCTACCTTTGAATGAAAATATAAGAGGACACTAAATTTATATAATTTAAGTTAACACGTCATCAACTACAATATTTGTTTAGCCTATAAAATCCTACAAAATACTAGGAGTAGAAACAAAACATGGACTTGGTACCTGTAGCTCAAGCAGCTAAGGCACTAGCCACATACACCAGAGCTGGTGGGTTCAAATCCAGCCTGGGCCTGCCAAACAACAATGACAACTATAACCAAAAAATAGCCAGGCATTGCAGTGGGCGCCTATAGTCTCAGCTACTTGGGAGGCTGAGGCAAGAGAGTCACTTAAGCCCAAGAGTTGGAGGTTGCTGTGAGCTGTGATGCCACGGCACTCTTCTGAGCTTGAGGCTCTGTCTCAGAAAAAAAAAAAAAGAAAGAAATGAAACATGGTACTATAGGCTATAACAATAGAGAAGTTTTCACAGAATTAGGGTTTTTCAATACCTGAGATACTTTACTATTTTCACTCTCTCTTTGAGATAAAGAGATAATATTTATATTTCGCCCTTTCTTCAAGATAATAAAGATAATGTTGAATAAGAAACACAAATATATAAGGTAGCATGAACAGACTTCATTAAACTGTATTTTCAACTCATTAGTTTGGCCATTTGTTTTTACACTAAATTCACCTAAGATTTTCTGAATCATTTAATTGTTTTGATCAAAGTTAGTATTCAAATTAATCTCAGCTGGCACTTTGCAAGTACCCACCAATAAGAATGCAGAGCTAAAGATAAAAACAAGGATGGTTGCCTTGGTATGTACCAATGTGTTCCAGTGTGAACTGATATGTGCCAGTTCATTCCAAGTGGTTATGAGTTTAGGTACTGCTTAAAACAGCATCACTAAGCTAGTTGTAGACTGAAAGAGTCAATGAAGTTTATGATTATAACAGAGTAGAAACAATAGTAAAGCTAGAAATATATAACAAAAATACACACAACAGAAGTAGCATATCCATGCTTTGAAATATGTTTAGAGACATTTATGCAAGCTTTGGAGCATGTTGCTATTATAGATTGTCACGAGGCCAGGGAAAATATACACTATCTAAACAATCTCCTCACACAAATCCTTCAAAACTATGATGTATCTGAATATGTGTGAAGCTGTTCTCTGCCATATTCAAACCTTTCATTATACTTTCTTACAAGCTTTTAAGTTAGAGGGTTCTTTTCTTCCCAAAGGTGTGCACTGATTAACTGAAGTGCTCTGCTCAGTGTATTCCAACAAAATTTGAGCCAAATATTGCCCTATGTTTTAATAAACTGAAGTTTTATGGAGAATTTTAGCCACTCTTATTGAAACTCAGTTTCAGATTTATTGTTCAGTATGACTTATTCCTCTGAATGCTTGCAAAAAGCACATAGATACTCAATAAAAACCTGATAGTTTTATTAAAATATAAGGACTATTTGAGTTAACAGTGGATTTAAAACTTTGTTAAGGATTTAGACAATTTGGCCCATAAGCTTTGAAACACGCTTACCTAAATTTGTAGTGACAATGATCTGCAGGCTGGCTATATATGCCACAAAGTGTGCTAAGGATTTTAAATGGATTATGTCATTTATTATCAGTCTAACCCCACTGCATGGTAAATGTTATCTACTTTCTAGAAATTATATTTTTAAAGTTATAAAGAGTTTGAATGACTTTCCCAGTGTCATAAAACTAGTAAATGACTGAGTCCATATTCAAAGTCAGGTACGCCTACATCCAAAGACACACAATGTCATTTAGGCAATGGAATTAAGTGCCCAGGATTTTGTTTTTAAATTGTTGAAATAATTTTCTCAGAAAATGTCAAATCAGAGGTGAAAAACAAATGTCGAATGATAAAATTCAGATTCAGGAAGTTCAGATAAATGCAACAGACATTGCCTAAGGTAACAAACAATATTTCCAAATTGTCATCAGACACTTAGAAGGTTTTCAAACTTTCTTCCTTGAGAATTTTTAGCCCAATATAGAATTATTTGACTCAATCTGATTTCCCTATTCATGAACAGAAAAGCAATGTAAAGCTAGCAAAATAAAGTGGTTGAAACTTAATCATAACATCCTATTGCCTTGATTTGTAAATATTTGAATATCTATGTCATTAAGAAATACATCTATACAGAGAGAAATGGAAGGACAACACACACACAGCCAGAATAAGTGAGCAAGAGAGAGGAAGAAAGAGAGAGTTAAAGAGAAGGAGAGAACACTCATAAAACTTTCAAACAAGACATTATTGCTGTCAGAGCAGCATATTCATGTATATTCCTTCCCTGGCTTCCAAATCTCTCTCCTGTCTCATCCTTACCTCCAGTCATCCTTTGAGAGGTTGATCAAAATATTCATTTCCTCATCCTCTTGCAGAAGGCGATAGACCGCACTCAAATGGTGATTTTCCAGCACAGATCTATCGTTGTACAGAATAGCTGAATCAGACCTGAACCGAAAGACAAGCCAAAGTGAGGATGCTGGACAGTTGAGGTTTCTTCCAGCCACTCTGACAGAGGACACTGCACTATCACTTTCTCCTATGGTTAGAAATGATCTTTGCCTCTGTGCCATTTACATGAACCAAATGCTCAACCGATACCGCAAATCATCCATAGATGCATGAACAATATTTTACTATCAATACATTTGCACTGGGAAATATGTAACACCATTCCTGAGAATTCTCTAAAAACTGTTTTATAACAAGATATCAATACCTTTTACTAGCAGCAAAAGTGATTTTTAAAACTATGGCCATATCAAACTTCCTTTTATTTTCTGTAATGATGTTAGTTTTCTAATTTTTATTTTATTCAATGAACATAGTAGTTTATTTATCTATTTATTTTTTGGTTGTTAATTCATGAAACTCATACCAGGCAGCTTACTGGTATGAGTAAACTTATTTGCTATCTGTAAGCTGCCTGGGATTTTTGCCCTTAAACTTATTCTATGCAAAAGGTACGTATGGAAAATTGAGAGGAAAGATTATAAAGATTATATGTCAGTTGTTAGTCCCTTTCGTAAAAACTATTCTATAACTGAATGTCACCAAACATAGGGCTGTATGCTATCTTAATACCTTTAATTTAATGAAAGTTCAGATTATGAGAGCTTACCTATTTCTCATCAAGGAAGCTTAGTTCCAGAGGTTTAAATGACTTTTAGAGGTACTCTGACAAGTGGGCCAGGGCTTCTCAAGATAACTTCCACCTGTCATGGGCCAAACTTTGGGACATGTCTAGCACACCTTAAAAGCGCTAGGTTAAACATTTTATCTATCAAAAGATAAAGGACCTGGTCACTGACTTAATTTTCTGAACAGGGATCACATGGGCTGAGATATTTTAAAAAGTTCTACTGAAGAGAGTCAATATTTAAATTTCATTCCAAACCAAGCTTAACTACACCCACTGGAATTTTCCACCTCCTATGGAGATAACACAAAACATGAAAATCCTGAGGTAAAAATCTGCTCTTATGTATGTTGATACAGTAGGTACCAAGTGACATGTAATTTATGATGCTAAACCATTTTTCAACCCCTGCAATTAAGCCATTTTCTTCTGAGTTGTGACGAGTTTGGACATTGGTGCCCAGGCAAGATCCACGTACACTTGTTCCGCCCACCTCTCCTCCTTGGCAGGTGCTATTCTCCATGTCTCTGCTCACGGCAAAGGTTCCTCCCACAGACACACATTTAAGGGTGCTTCTCTATGGAATTCCCTGCATGCATTAAAGACCTTGGAACAGCCAGGGAAGGCTGCTTCCCAGCAGCTGAGATTACTCTCTGGTGAGGAGGCTGGAAGGAGGAACAAAGCAACCAGCTCAAGTCCTTTTGTCTCCTTTCATTCCATTGAAATTCCCCTTCTGAACAGAGATCAGACGATATTGTCTTCTTTTGTGTACCCCATAATTAAGTGTTGAGTTCATTAAATACATGTAGATTGATTTAATGAACACAAACCTATCTGGAGTATGCACCTGCTTTTTGAAGAGAAATCAGCAAGTATTTATTTGGCTTTAAACTCCCATCCCTTCCTGCTTTCTCTCGGCCTGAAGACCAGTATCAAAACCAGTCACAGCTCAAGGGGAAAATGATTTAATTATGGAAGTTGGAGGTGCCACCTTTCCCCAAATCCTAGCTTCTTCTGATTCCTATGTCAAGGCTCAATTAACCCTATTGTCAGATTCTCTCCAGTTCCACATCACTGTCTTGAAAGATAGCAAGTTCTTAGGCCAAGAGAGGGAAAATAAAGCTTCAAAGATTCATCCTAAGGAGAAAAAACAATTGATTCATGCTGATTGCCTGTAACTCTGTATTGAGAGGAGTAAGGATAAATCCACAGCTTAGGGAGGAAATAAAATAGCAGGATCAATTAGTGATGTCTATTACAGGTCTGAAGATTCGGAGCAGGGCACTTGGACCCATATTTGTGCCCCCAACAGAGGTTGTTGTTTATCTGCGCAATTCACTACGAACGGTACACAGGTTGCTTGTGGTGAAGGTGGCCTAGAAGAGAAACTCTAACTCCCAAGCCCTGTACCAGAGAGTGATGCAAACACTGAACAAAGCAGGTATGAATGAAACTAGAAAGGATGAAAGAGCATTTTATGAGAATTCCAGAGGTCGGATGGCAGAAGGAACAATTACTGTTAATACCAATAGGAACACTCCAATCATCCCTGTCCGTATTGATTTAGCTTATGTGGCTCATGGGTCTTTATGTAAACTATTCCATCTCTTATTAGAAATAGAGTATGCATAGAATATATATAAATAAGCAGCAGGTGTTAAAATAGAGAAGAAAAGGATATCTATACTAGATCTAAATAAAATATAAGAAATAGGAGCCCATGGTTTCTTAAACTCTGAGTCTTGATTGAAGCTGATCAGGCTGATTTCTTGTTTATAGGTTCATCTTTTCAGAAACCCAGAATAGGACAACCATACAAAAGAAAGGGGACTCACACCTTTCTAACTTCTAAAACTTTCCCCTGACCCCTCCTGCCTCCTTCTCCAAGCATTTCAACATCCTCACCGAGTCTGAATGTGGAAATTGTTGGTGGTTCCGGTATGCTCATAGTCGTGGATGGCAGCTGAGAAGATTATAGCAAAGATCTCCAGCTCCGTCAGCCAGTTCTGAAAGGGAGATTACAGAGCAATCAGATAATCTGTTTCTTTCTCAGACAAAGTCTTCAGCTTGCTGACAGCACACCCACACTGCTGCCTCTCCACCCTGCAGCTGGTAAGCTATTGCCAAACACAAGTTTTCTGAGACATAGAAATAAATTTTTTAAAAAATTTTTTCGGTGAAGAGATCTGGGGACTTGAGATTTGAAAACAGCATGACCAGCAAGGCTGCTAACTAGTAGTGTTATCCGCTTCAAGAGAGTTAAAAGACAATGAATGTTAAGACTTCAAAAAGCCCTCATTTCATCCTCCTCCAAATTCCAAATAAAGTTCCCAAGTAGACACACATACACACTTAAAAATTTCAACACAATACCAAGGACCCAGAGTAATAGGAAACCTAATGCCTGACTATAGGAGAAATATTCACTACATAGCAGATAGAGGTAGTAGAGAAATAACACTCGGCTTTCTGCTCTATACATGTTAATGTTTGAAGAGACTGGTCCCCCACTCAAAGTTAGCTGCAGCTCGATAGTTTGCAAAGCGGGTTCCTTGGAGCAGCAGAATTAGCATCACCTGGAAGCTTGTTAGAAGTCCAAATTATTTTGCCCTACCCTAGTCTCAATGGATCAGAAACTGCAGGTTGTGGTTCAGAAATCTGTATTTTATCAAACCATCCAGATAATGCGTACTAGAGTCTGAGAACTACCACTGTGTTTGCAGCTCCAAATAACTGACTTCCATTTTATGGACTCTGAAGATTCACTTCTCATGCCTTCTGTTAAACCGCTCTGCTTGATGCTCACACAACAGAATACTCCTGACTCTTGGGCCACCCTTCGGTATCTTCTGATCACTTTTGTTACTAGTTAAATGGATGCTTACATGATTCAAAACTCTGTTTTTGGTAAGTTGTATTTGTTACTATAATTATGTAATTAAATATGACATAAACCACTAAAATATGAATGCAAACATGGAGTTGTTATTTCTACGGAACTGAAGCTCAATGCTTTGTACAGTCACTAAATGAATAGATGAGCTCACATCACAAAGTCCCAAAGCTGCACCTGCTGGTGAGGGTGTGGAGAGAAGGGAACACTTTTATAGCATTGGTAGAATTGCAAACTAATACAGCCTTTTGGAAATAAGTCTGGAGAATTCTCAAGGAACTAAAAGTAGACTTTCCATTTGATCTGGTAATCCCATTACTAGGTATTTACCCGGAAGAAAAGAAAATCATTTTATCACAAGGGTCACACAGTCAGTCGAGGGAGAAGCCACAGAATAGGATTCTAGAATTCTCACTCATAATCTTTAAGTCATATCTCCTTTGGGTCATTGTTCATGTGATTATTCAATTTTGAATAAAATTATATAGGTATAATTTAATATTACACATTTTTCTTGATATTATCCATGCATATATTATAGATATACACATTTGGCAATGTCTTTCTCCCCCCACCCAATCCTGTCCTGGCCTGTCTGCCACTCATGACTCTTGCTACTCATTCCCCCACATATACCTCTTGTTCTAAGCTCATGCACAGTTAATTTTACATTTTTAAAATAAGATTATAAATGGGAGACAGAATAACATCTTAACAAATCAGGATATCAGTCTAGCCAGCAGAAAATGTCCAAATAACTGTATGATTACAATTCCCACGTCACAAATATGAGTGACACTTCTCTCCTTACCCAAATACACTAATGAAATCCTACCTTACATATAACCTACCTCAAACCAAAACCACTGAATGACTAAATAAGTATTTAACACAATTTTAAAAAGCAACAGTCTTTAAAACTCATTTTAACACCCTAGTTTGACCACAGACACTGTGAATGCTTAAAACCAGTTATACTGCTTTGGGAATAAGAAAGAAATGTGGTATCTGACAAACCACAGAGGAAAGAAGAAAGAGAAACAGCTTCTCACAGGAGGGACCTTTAACATGGTTCTTGAAAACTGAACAGAATAAGAAATGAAGGTGGGCATTTTCAGAAGAATGAACAAAATGAGTAAGTCCCAGGAGCAATCATCTCAAGTAAAAAACAAACAACAAAAAACAAATAATTCCCTGGACTAAAGTAGGAGTTGGAGCTGATTGAGACCCTGTGATATCAGGCCTTCAAAGCCAGAGTGAGTGAGGAATGTCAACTTGATTCCATGGGAAATGAAGTTTTCATGCAACAGAGTAACACCACTTCCAGAAGAGTATTTGGGCCAGAGCAGAGAAGAGAAAAATAAGAGAAGTGCTTGTAGACTAAAAAGTTCTTATAGGAGGTATAGACAGTACAAAGGTAGAATTGATATAACTCAGCAATTCACTAAATTTGGGGTGGGATGGAGGGACAAGAAGAAGTTATAGTCAATGAGAACAATCAAAGATGACTTCTATCCTGCATGGCTAAAATATCCTGGGTGGGATGAGAAGGTGCCATTAATACAAACAAAGACAGGAGAAGAATTGAAGAGAAGGTGGGCTTCATATTTTAATATGACTTAGATTTCCTTTCCTTTTCCAAATTAGTTACTGTGAACACAGAAAGTTTTATGTCAACCCATAAGAAGTCAGAAATTTAAGTCCCACAAGCATTTTGTTCCAGAATTATCAAACTGTGGCAAGGTCCAAGTCACAGATCCTACTAATGTTTCCTGACCTAGAAAATATGAGTGCCACAACTAATTCATTGACAGGGATGCCTTGACAAATGCTAACTGTGGACTTTGAATTTTGCTGTGTATGATTCAGAAAACAAGCTGAATGTGTACGCCTATAGGGGAACATGGGAAGAAATGGATACAACGGGCCGTAGGAAACCTGAAAGGCAAGGACATGTACAATCTCCCACTGCCGGAGGAGACATTATCAGAAAGTCATGACTTTGGTATGTGAGTGATTGAGTTTCTTTAGTAATCTGTTTCCACCTCAGTTTCCCACTGCTACCTTAACAAATTACCACAACCTTACAGGTTCAAAGAACACCCCCTATTAACTGGCATAGCTGTCTAGGTCAGAAGTCAGGTACAGTGTGGGTGGGTTCTCGGTTCAGGGTCTCACAGGCTGACACCAAGGTGTGGGCAGGGTTGCATTCCCTTCCGCAGCCTCTGGGGGATCATCTGCTTTCAGGAGTATCCAAGACATCAGCAGAATTCATTTCCTTCTAATGCTTTCCAGGTGGCCCCTCTACCTGCAAACTAGCAATGGGCCTGTTGAGTCCTTCTTTGACTTCTCTGTGTCTCCTTCACTTTGATGAATTTGTGTAATTACATTGGCCCACTTGGAGAAACCAAGATATTCTCCCTATTTAAGGTCTTCTCACTGGTAACCTTAACTATACCTGTCAAGTATCTTTTGCCATCTAATGCAACATATATGTGACATCAGAGGACCAAAGTCGTCAGGGGACCAAACGTCTGCCAATCACAACCCCAAATAAAGTTACTTAGCATTCTTGAACCAAGATGTCATTTTCCTATTTTTAGTTTTCCCCTTGTAAGCACAATGATGCCATATACAACCAAAAGAACAAGCTACACAGTTGCTCCTTCCTGGGGAAAAAAAAAATAGGCAAAGAGGAAATTGTTAGCACTTTGCCTAAAAAAAGCAATGAAAATGGCCCAGGGACAGCTTCAGAGTTTGGAATGTTTTCACCGAAATCCAAAGCAGTTTAGAGTCTGATTAATATCTATTCAATCAATAACAACTCTTCAGTCTAATCCTGTTCAAGGATCTTCTCTTAGAAATGAGCAGGAAAGCATTCAAGTGTCTTCTAGGCGCCCTTCAGTTAAACAATAACGAGTAATACAAACAGATTACCATGAGTAATACTGTTGATGTTGAAACCCAGACGTCACTTTATCAATGGGCTATTTTGATTGCCTAAACGTCTTACAGTTTATAACACTGAAATGATTTAAAGCATTTTCGCACTCTTGGTTTGTAATGAAAGGTTAGAGCAACAACACGTTCATTCATCAAAGTGTTCCCCACTGTTTTTTGTAAGCTCTAAATGAAAGAAGTTTGTTTTGAGCTACATTTCCAAGAGAGAGTGGGTAAGGAATAGTTTCTATATTTAAGAATTATTCTGAATATGGCCTGACTTAATAAGGTAAATTCAATAACAAATGGCAAATGGATTTGTTTAAGAACAGTATGAAGTACGTCATGACCCTCACCTGCTAAGACATAACATTTATGTTAATCTTAATGTGAATTAGCATAAATGCTGGAGCTTTTCATGAGCACAAAAGAAGCGGTGTATGATTCACCTTTCTATCTCCATAATACACTGCACACAATAGGTACTAACTAAATAGATGGTGAATACATGAACTCAACGTGCACGGTGCATCCATTTTGACCCTCATCATAATCTCTGGAAATAAGTGCACATGAGGATACTAAGGTATAAGAATGTAAGGAGTTTTTTATTTGTCACAGGCATTGTAGAAACACGGTTAAATATTTAAATGCATGGCCTTAGACACTAGAGCTGGGACCAAATCTTGGCTCCACTACTGCATTAGTTTTCTAGGGCTGCCATAACAAAATAACACAGGTTATTGTTAAGGTGGCTTACACAACAGAAATTCATTTTCTCACAATTCTGAAGGTCCAAGATCAAGGTATCAGCAGGATTGGTTTCTCCTGAGACCTCTCCTTTCCTTGCAGATGGCCATCTTCTCTCTGTGAATGGTCTTTCCCCTCTGTGTGTGGATACCTGTATCCTAATCTCCTTTTTTTTAAGGACATCAGCCATATTGGAGTAGAGTCCACACACATGACCTCATCTTACTTTAATTACCTCTTTAAATGCCCTTTCTCCAAATATACTCATGTTCTTAGGTATTGGAAGCTAAACCTTCAATATGTAGTAGAAACTCCATAGTTGACCAACTCCCTACATTGACCACCTTCTTAAGTTGACATAATTTTCACATACCAGACATGCACCACATGTACATATCAGTATAGTAGGCCTAGTTCTTTATG